AACAACTAGCATGCGTTGAAGGTCACTGGAGCGTTCGCACTCCTGGGACGCTTTTGTTGAAATTCGCCTATGATATTCATTATTATAAAAGATTTTGTATCTCCCAATGAATGAAAAACAAAATGATGTTTTTGTTTTTACTGACCATTCGCTATTTAATGCTGCTGTTAATAGCTTTACCCAAATGTTATTGAACTAGAACTTTAAAAATCCCTAAGGACTTTCTTCCTAATTGTGTTTATAAAATAAAATGCTTGGAATGTGATGCATCGGACAAACATCGCCAAAGAGAAATCAAAATCAGAAGAAATGAACACCGTAGAGCCGTATCTGTTCGACCATCGAGAAATCCCATTGATCTAGAAAAGCTTGAAAAATCATCAGCCATAGCTAGTCTACACACTAGAGAATCAGATCACAAAATTGATTTTGACAATATTGAAATAATCCAGAAAATTTCAGAAATCACAAAGAACGTCTAATATCATCAGAAACACTTCATATCAAGTGGAATCCAAATTGTTTGAATAAGAATGATTGACTGAGACAGAATTTGACCTAGATACAACACCTCCCTCCCCCATGAAGTGACAAAATCAACACGAATGTGATGAGGAATTTCATTATGTTGTAAACGCATGCTGCTTTTATAATTCTATATGCTTATCAAATCCAACAATCTACACTTGGTTTTGTTATCTGTATCAGCTGGCTAACTTGACAACGTGAAAATTAACCCATGCTGATGAACGATGATAAGGTTGTTATATATAAGCTTAGAATTTGTAAATTCTGGTTTAGTAGTGCTACTTTGATAAAGCTGTTAGCAGCAGCTTTAAATAGCAAAACGTCAGTAAAAACAAGAATATCGTTTTGTTTTTATATTTGATAGTAATCAATTAAAATTTGTGACTGACTTGTTTTTCAACATCGAAGTACAGCACTTCGAGTTGCCAAACTCCATAAACCACACAAAGGAAGGCACAAAAGAGATTCAAAAGAAAGATAATAAGCACAAATGTGAAGGGAAACAAGAGTTTTATAGGTTGTGACAGTGAATGCATCTGCACCATTAAGAACAACTTCGAGCCATATCACCAATTGTCTCCAGCTACTGATTCTTGGCATTCCGAGGACCCCGACCAGTCATTCTATACCTCTCCCTACGTGGCTGCCTTAAACTAACTTTTTTGGATTTCATGGATTGACTCCATGTTTTGGTTTGACCACCACTAGCAGCTCGTCTTTTCCAACCCAACAACACTACGTCAGCTAACATTCCCCGTCGAGGAAGGCGACACCTAGACAATGCGGAACCTATGTCACAATCATCTGAATTGATGTAGCTTCACAACCTCATCGATTGATTTTCCCTCCTTACCTAACACTCGACCAAAGCCTAACCTAAATATTACTCACCCTATTATACCACCTAGAAACGGGAGATAGAACGCATGCGCTTATGATGAAATACAGCTAGCCTTTCCATGTTTTCCAATTTCGATGGCCATGTCCCACAGTCGTAAAGGACGATGGGGGCAAACTGGTGTGCAGTACACCATTCGTTTGATCGATAACCAGCTGGATATCATGTCTACACCAGAGATGGCGTGAATTGGGAAATATCACACGAGCCTTCTGTATCCGTGCTGAGATTTTGTCAGCAATCAGTCCCTTTGGGGTTGATCCAAATTTGAATTCGCACACTAAAAGGGATAAAATACCAAGCGAAAATACTGAACCAACAGGAAATGAATGGCAACTTGAATATGTTTGAATACCATTTGGAGATTCAACTAGTCATTTAAGAAATAGCTTGAAAATCCCCATTGAGTCATATGAAAAGAGAAGACGTTCAGCGAAGAGACTCTTTCGGCGAATTCATTCATATAGCTGTACAATCGCATTTATATATAGTTATTTGTGTGTGTACATGAGGTTTGTCAAGTTTAGATAATTGATCAGGTAATACAAGAATGATCTAATATAGAAACGAAGTTAATCAGACAGCAACTAAAGTAAGATTGAGTTAGTAAGTTAGATGACGTAATATAATTGACTAAAATGTTTCAACTTAGGTCAGGGTAGCAACAGAGGTAATTACAGGTAGAGACTAAGTAGAAGTGAAATTGAGCAAATAAGTTGGATGACGTAACATAAATGACTAGAAATTGAGCGTTGTTCAAGTCAGTAACAGTGGTAGTGAGGTGTAGAAATTAAATCGGGTGGGGTAGAGAACAAGAAAGTTGAAGATGTAAAATATTACAATTGAGAAGACAAAATAATGCTAATTAAGCGACAGAAAAAAGGATTAGGTAGAATTTACTTATTACTTCTAACTCTGTGGAAGACTTTGAAGTTTCTTTGCGGTGTAGCTTGGTGTCCGGATTCTATCAGATGTTCTAAGATGGAACTGCGGGGGCATCGATTTTCTTTTTTGGGCGGCCGCCCATGCTTAGCGTCCCGACGGAGATATATCTGCGGAAACACTAAAAAATTGACTGTCGCGCTCACTTAAGAAGACCTTCTTCGCAGCTGAACTACGACCAACCTTCTCCACAAAACCTATGATTCATGTGAACGTGAAGGATAAGCTACCGCTACTGGCCTCATCAATGTGTATTTATTAATTCGCCCGCTCGTGTGGAGCCAGGTATGTCGGCCGTACCCACCGCTCGCTTTCTAAAAGTATCACCGAACACTTACCAACATGATTTTTATTTTTAATTCCTTCACGTTCCCAGTGGAACATAGGGTTTCAAGCTAGAGGCTTGAAGTTTCTGTAGCAGTGTTTATTTTTACAGGATGAGGTTGCTAGCCTCATGCCCAACCTTTCCTCTTCACCAGCTTTTTTTCTTAGTTCTGGCTTAGCGAGGTAAAGGAGTGCGCCGGCCGGGAATCGAACCCCGGACCATGTGCATGGTCGGCGAGCATCCTAACCGCTATGCCACCGACGCACACCAACATGGTTTTACAAAGGAGAAAATCGATGCCCCCGCAGTTCCATCTTAGAACATCTGATAGAATCCGGACACCAAGCTACACCGCAAACAAACTTCAAAGTCGTCCACAGAGTAAGAAGTAGTAAGTAAATTTTACCTAATCCGTTTTTCTGTCGCTTAATTAGCATTATTTTGTCTTCTCAATTGTAATATTTTACATCTTCAACTTTCTTGTTCTCTACCCCACCCGATTTAATTTCTACACCTCACTACCACTGTTACTGACTTGAACAACGCTCAATTTCTAGTCATTTATGTTACGTCATCCAACTTATTTGCTCAATTTCACTTCTACTTAGTCTCTGCCTGTAATTACCTCTGTTGCTACCCTGATCTAAGTTGAAACTCAATCTTACTTTAGTTGCTGTCTGATTAACCTTGTTTCTATATTAGATCATTCTTGTATTACCTGATCAATTATCTAAACTTGACAAACCTCATGTACACACACACAAATAATTATATATAAATGCGATTGTACAGCTATGTGAATGAATTTAAGAAATAATCAAGATTATTGAATTCAATTTTAGATTTTCCCATCGATTGATATTGGACCGAAGTGCTCGGTCTCAGGTTGACATGTCGGCTTCTTGTACAGATGCTTCGACAATGTCTGGTCAAGTAATTAGAAGATAAAAATATTGATGAGGTGTTATTACCGGCTACTGCCTGACACTGACAACTCATGAAATATAATGCAATGAAGTTATGATTAATAACCAGGAAATGAAATATTTACATCCAGCCGGTATAAATGAATGTTTCCAACAAGGTGGTTCCAGGCGACATACAGTTCTCTGTAGATCTAAACCCTAAGTATTTGTATACCTTAACCACATGCATTTGTATGTATCAACTATTCATTATGTCTCATTATTTCTACTCCACTTTTCATCATTTTTATTTTGATAGTTAATTCAGATAAAGCAATAAGAAGACGTAATTTGTCTGAATCTTTTAATGTATTTGCGTAACACATTTCAAACAATCTCATCGCACACAGATTTGTCATAGGAATATATATGAAATTAATAAAGAGTTAAGAGGTGACAAAATAAACTACTTAGGTCAAGTTAAAAGGACATGCTGAAGGTCAAAATAACAATGAAGACCACTAAACCAAATAACAGAGGTAATAATACATCTGCTATTGCATCAAAACAAAGTTTACCAAGGAAGGTTTAGTGTGATGACGAATTGTTTTTGAACACATAAAGGTGGTTTCAACTTCCTAATTGCTAGGGCATCCACAAACCTAAGTCTATTTTCTCACCTTTCAACTCTATTAATTTCATATATATTCCTATGACAAGTCCGTGTGTGATCAGATTGTTTGAAATGCATTACACGATCCAGAAAAATTACGTCTTCTTATTTCACAGTCGACGAGACTGTGAAATTACATCTACTGAGATGGTTAGGATATGTGTTACGTATGCCTAGTCATCGCCTTCCTCGACAATGGGCAATGTTAGCTGATATAGGGTCAGGCTGGAAAAGAGCTGGCGGCGGTCAAACGAAAACATGGCACCAGTCAATGAAATCCACAACAGTTAGTCTAAGCCACGTAGGAAGGTGTAGACTGGCTTCCTGGTTGGGGTCCTCAGGACGGTAAAAACCAATGGTTGGAAACAATTGGTGACATGGCTCAAAATAGTTCTCAGTGATGCCGCAGATGCATCCACTCCTTGACTTATGATTTCCAATGAAACTGTTTTGTTCTTCGTTATTGCTATTCCTTTGTCTCACACCTCCGTTTACTGTCTCCAATATGCATTTCTCTTAGTTTCTTCTTCTCTTGCTTTGTGTGCTACATGGAGTGTGGCGACTTGAACTGCCGCACATATGTGCAATGTTCTATGTCGAAAACCGACCGACCGACCGTCTTCTTATCGCTTTATCTAAATTCATAAAGGGAACTAATTGTTTTAAATAGTTTATTCGTCATTTAAAATTTTGTTTATTTATTAATTTTTTTGAAATTTATTTTCCCAGAACTCTACAGCCGCATATTTCAAGGGAAATTCAATAGTTGGTTATCAACATCTTCAACGTCAGATAGAAATTTAACTCACTCAGCTTGCTCAACCACAACAGCAAACACTGAAAATCATCTTTCAAGTATGCTTACATTGAAATGTTCACTAAGTCAAAGTCGTCATGGTAGTCACACGCATTCGATATCCGATTCACGAATTATAAGCTCAACAAATACTACAGTCGTCGCCGTCTCTCCATCAAACAATGATATAGTTACACTGCCCTGGCTACCGCTTAGTCCAAATAGTGCGTTTCGTGTTCAGACTGGAAAAAAACCTCTGGGAAATTGTATACCAGATTCTTGTGTTGTTAAGTCTGATAACACGTTTTGTCGTAAAAATTCTAATAACCATAGAAACAGTTCTCAAGAAAATGGAGTAAGTTGACATCAATGTTTTTTCTTCTTCTTCAAATATATTCATGCTGTTCACTTGATAAATTTTGATGTAACAAAACAGATCTAGGCTGCAGTATTGATTTAATTCAATTTTAGATTTCCCGTCGATTGATATTGGACCGAAGTGCTCGGTCTTAGGTTGACATGTCGGCTTCTTGTGCAGATGCTTCGACGACGTCTGGGCATTTAATTAAATTTAACTGGTGGAAGCCGACGTGTCAACCTGAGACCCGACCTTTTTGGTTCAATCAATCGACGGGAAAATCTCAAATTCAATTAAATGATCAATATAACCCTTTGCACAAGAGGCTCTGGTGGATAACGTCTTGGCGTTTGAAACTACGGGCACTGGGCTTGAGCCTAATGCAGATGACGAGTCCCAAATAGGACGAAGTGCACATCCTGGATTCCACTGCTAGTCACCATCTACCAGTTAAATGCAGTATTGATTGATGTCTTTTTATTTCTCAGGCATTCAACAACTACAGGTTGCTTTAAGTGATGATCATACGATAATGCGGAAAATGTGTAAATTTAGTCAATTCAAAATCTAGAGTATTGAATGAATTAACTTCATGATATCTATTTCAAGCCATCACTAATCTGTGCGTATTACAAAACAGACAGTTGGAAAGGTATAAATTGGCAGGAGGGGGAGACACGAAAGCAATAATAATAATAATAATTGTGGGGTCGCGCTAAATCACGAATCGGTAGAATTCATGAGCTGTTTAATCGAGTCCCAGTGTCTGAATGGTATACGAGGTTGTCTTGTAACCGGAAGGTCCTGGGTTTGAGCCCTGTCAGTGGGTGCGTACTGCCGATGATTCCCAAACTAGGATGAAACATCAGCTGTTCAGTACTCCCTGGTTTTCGATGGTTCTCCAACTGATATCAATCCGTGATCAACTCGTAAAAAAAATAATCATTGTTATTATTTCTTTGGGTTCCGACTTGAACGTGGACCTTCAATAGGACATCTACTCTGGGAATCAGAGGAAGTCCCACTGGGTTGGTGTGAGTCATTGATTATCCCCATATCCAAAATTAGCTTGACTAATACGGTATCTAAAGTTCTAGGCTCAATAATCATGCGTAGACTAAGCGGTCCACGGGAGGAACAAACATGAGAGAACCAGGCAGGTTTTTGACCAGGACATGTGTCTAGACATCACGTTCCTCGACGGAGAATGTCAGCCGACATAGGGTTGGATTGGTGGTCAAACTAAAACATGGCTTCATCAGTCAATGAAATCCACAACAGTTAGTTTAAGTCACGTAGGGGGGGTGTAGGCTTCCTGACTGGTCAGTTCCGCGGGACGGTAAGATTTAATGGCTGGAGACAGTCGGTGATTCAGCTCAAAATCGTCGTCACTGTCGCAGATGCATTCACTCTTTGTGATTTGTCGCATCCAATAAAATTCCATTGTTCTTCGATATTTCATATTTCTGTTTATTATCTCTCTTTTGAATCTCTCCTTACTCTCTTCTCTTGCTCTGTGTGTGCTACATGGAAGGAGTATGGCAACTGGAACTGGTGTACATCTGTGCAAAGTTCTACGTTGAAACCAGTCAGTCAGTCAATGATGTTCTACCGGTCAACTAAAGTATTGTTAGAAAAAATATATCTATTGAATATATTTAGTCCCGAGGACTTTTTCATCTAATATTCTATACTAGGCTTCATTATTAGCCAGTCAGTCGTTAATCTATTGTGAAAGAGTTTTTTTTGGTTGTATGTTTCAGAGCCAGAGCATTTCCAACTATTTCCTAACTTTATATGCTTTTTTTCTTTCATTCAAAGCTTAACTCAATGGAATGTTGTACTGTAAACCCAGTACTTTGTAATGAAGATACCTGTCCAAGTAACTTGAAGTCTTCTTCACTACCTCAAATCGGTGATTTCAGTTTAACCTGTCCACAGTCACGGCCTACTTCTGTTTTACTCTCCGGGATGAATTCTTCTGTAGAAGAATACTATACTGAACTGCCTAAAGTTACTCAATCAGATGTAAGTATATTTATTTATTTATCTATTTGTGTAAAACATTTCATTTGTGTTAATCTGCAAAGATTCACCTCTTAGAGTTCAGTGAGTGGATGGAGTATATGTAAGATTTCAAAACGTTGTTGAACATTTCTAACACAGTGCCCTTTACTGTAGAACAGACTGATGGAAACATCTGATTGCGTAAAAATTATCTACAATACGGAAAAATAGCCAATGTCACCGTTTACGAGTGTTTGGCCTCACAACCTATTTGTTGTACCCTACTGGTCACAACATGCATGAAAGATCCACAGAGTGAAGATAACGTCAAAAATAATTAATTTAAGCCATCATCAATGGTACTGTCATACAGAGAAGAAGAAACCATAGAAACTTCATGTAGAATTCCTAGCAATGCAGGAATGAAGGTGGGGGGCATTCAAACTTACAAACTCACTTTGAGACATGCTTTGTCGGTTAAAGGATTATGTGGAGCCCATAAAACAAAACAATTTAGTCTATCTAATACCTTGCAATTATTGTCAAGCCTAATACATAGGTCAAAGTAATAGAACGACGTCAATCAGATTAGCGAAGCACAAAAATCTAGCTAATTCTAGATTAGTTAACCAAAGTGAGAGGGCGAAAGCGGATGCCCGGCGCTCTTCACCGGGTTGACTGTCTATTGGATGACAGTCTAGGGGAGATGGCTAAACCCTGATTCCAAACCTCCAACGACTGGCGTATGAAGCTCACTGGAGATCACCGGCAGACGTATGGACAAAGGGCTTGTTGGGTGTCCTGGATGTCTGGCCCCATTCAAAAAGGCCTATGAACCGAACTCCGGTCACCGGCTGCCAATGGATAGTGGACTCCCTACTCCACTCCTACTGCCTTGTAGGTCACACTTGGTTGTGTAAAGGCTAGAGCTGCACTCTCAAACAAAAGGCCGAGCGGTTCTGGGGACATCACTCGTACCAAATTCCCATGAAACTTCATGAACTCTCTTACAAACGACTCTATTCGAGATGTTCATGAAGCCGGCTCATCCTCCCGTATAAGATAGCCGAAGTAAAGTAAAGTAAGTAACAAGATAAGGAATCTGGGGAATAGAATAGTTCAGCTATAATAGCATTACATGGAATTACACATAGGCGGTAGGAATGCTCTCCAACCACGCAGGTGGTTCGGGGTTCAATCCCCAGCCGACACATTCCTTCAGTGATGAGAGACTGACTGGTAAGGAGAAAACTATTCAGTGAAAGTTTTGAAGTTGTGTGATTATAATTGGTATATTTATGAACAGTAATAAATTGTGTGATATATCCAATAAACAAATTCATATTTCATCATGAGCTGACAGTGGTTAAAGAACCTTTGGAAAACCTGGGAGTACTGGACAGCTGTTTCGTCCTAGTTTGGGACTCTTCGTCAGCCCTCCTTGTAACTAGAAGGTCCTCTGCTTGGACCCTGGTGAGTGCGTATTGCTGAGGACGAAACAGCTGTCCAGTACTCCCAGTTGGTTTTCCAGTGGTTCTCTAATCAATGTCAGCTCATGATGAAATCCTGTAACCAATCAAATCCAAACAAACCAACACTTGAAAATTCATATTTACTACCATCACAGTGCTGAAGTATTACACCCACCTAAATATGAATTTGACTTTTATTATTTCTCTCAGCTGTCTATTCATGTGATCTTGAAGCTGATTTCGCTAGTATATATATTTTTATTTTTTCCAGTAATTGTTCACATTTAGAGTAGATAATTATGATAATTTCGTGATTATAAAATCGAAGGCCGTAGTTGTTGTTATTGTCAGTGTTACCGTTGTTTACTCATTCATTGTTTCACCAGTAGAAAAAAATAATGATGATTGTGAGTGCTATTCAGCTTCACCATTGTCTTTCTTCATCGTATCCATTTCTTTTTTTAAAAGACTGATTAAGTGAAAAAAAAAACGAATATTCTTCTCTTCGATAACCTCTTCTTCATCAGGTGCTACATTTATATGACTATAGTAATTAAAGAAATACACATATTTTGTTATCAGAGAGAGTAAGAGAGAGAGAGAGTGTAGAAAGGAGTTCTTCTAGATCTGTTATCAAGAAGCCTCTGTATATAGTTACGAAATATTAACCAACAAGTTGAGAAAATCGATTGGAAGAATATTAAATGGCGATAAGCTGAAGCTTTTAGTCTCTTCTTTACAGTTAACCGATTGTGATTGTGAAACTGCAAGACGAAGTAAGTAGGCTAGTCACCTCTAATTGTATATCTATCAATTCAACTGCTTCTGTGGAGCCAGTTATATTAGCTGTTGCTCCAGGAACTTAATTTTTCCTGCTTGGGAACACCACACCTACCAACCTGTGTGTGGTTACATAAATGGTGTGTTGTTAAAACTATCAACAGTTCCTCTATGATTAGATCACCTCGTTCAAATAGGCCACTAAGCTAGCCTAGCATGGGAAGAGTCTTTCTCTTTCATCTATCGGGTATTGTGTCGAATAAATTACCAAAGGCCTCTAGGTACCTAATAATCCAGTTCCAATTAATCAGTTGGCAATCAGTGTCTGTTAGTATGGTTGTGCTTTGCACTGTCTAAGTGCAAGGTGCTGTTATAAGATTGACAGGAGCCTGTACCTGCACTCGCTCTTGCAGCTGAACCGCTCGAATTTGTCGATAAGTTCATGAATCTGGGTAGTTGTATGACTGCTGGTGGAGGTGTGACGGACGGGATTTTCAACCGTATCATGAAAGTTAGATTGACATACGTCAACTTGAACCACTTTTGTCGCCATCGCAGCATTAACCTGGCTGTCAAAGGTCGGGTTTACAATGCTTCGATGCACCCAGTCTTGCTCTGCGCCTGTGAAACCTGGCCTCTTCGAGCTAACGATGTGTGGCAATGCTGCTTGTTCAGTCATTGTTGTGTCCGTATAATTGCTGGCGTCGGACGGCACCATCGCGTGAGTAGTTTTAAGGTCAGGTGGCGTGTGTTTGGACACAGTGAAGGTGACCATTCGTTGAGTGTCGTCATCTGGAAACATCGGTGGCTTCGATATGTACTACGAAAGTCATTCCAGAGGCTTCCGTACTGGTGTCTGTTCGCTAGCCAGCCCTAGGACTTTATGGAAAAGGTGGAGAGGTGGTCAGCCCATGACATGGGGCTGTGGGATGAGGGATATTTGTGTTAGGTTAGCTTCGGTTGGTGTGTCACAACTCCCTTCTTGGTGCCATATTGTACCAAGTGTTTTTTGTGTTCAGATAAAATAAATCCAAGCAATAGAAGCTATTGGAATCCGCTTAAATCAACCGGATCCCTGAGTGTCAAAAAGAAAAGGTCCAGTCAGGTACTGTTGCCACCCTGGCCTACTATCTATCGAACCCTTAGTTTATCTGACATTCAGTCAGCGTAGTGTTATATTAGTGCTTTTGAAATGTAATCACCTGTCAATACTATTGATTCAGTGTAATTGAAAACAGCATTAATATTATTAGCAGGAATATTTCTTTAGTTATCATGGTCAGTTCAATGAAGGACCTGATGAAGAAGTTATCGAAAAGAATATTTTTTATTTATTAATCAATCTTTGAAATTGTCAATGGGCGTCTTCAATGAATTATTCGTTTTTATTTAGATACTCTTCTTTGAATTTAATTGAACACTGTTTTTTTGCTATATTTGAATAGGTCTTTGGATCAGAATCCCGTCGTACACAACTTAATAGACCTAAACGGCCTTATCCACGTATTGACTCGACTGATTCGCATTCATCCTCTCCATCGTTAATCACGAATGAAAAAAGTGTTTTATCCTCTTCGGATATGCTGGGTTGTGATCATTCACCGACAAAGTGTCCTGGCACTGGTACTAGTACAAATCGGAGTACTGTCCTCCAGACATCTGATCATCAAATAATGCCAGATAATATTTCAACTGTTTACGCTGAAGTGAATGATGCATTTGTTTATAACACAATTCCACCATATCATTCTTCGTCTTCGTCTGCCTCGCTAATCTCATCGTCGAAAGCAGCTTCTTTTGTTCCCGGTAAAAAAGTTCCAGATGTAGATCATTATGATACGGCGGACTATTCAGTGGAGAAACTTACGAATAATGACTTAACGTTAAAACCTGTTCATCATACCTGTTGTATACATAATTTTAAATTCTGTGATACTATGCATCGAGATGGTGAGTTAGAAACCGTTAACTTTATTGTAAGGCATTCTGTTTAATTTGTATTTTATCACAGTTTATCTGTCATAATCTTCATTGTACAAGGGAAGTGTAAACTGGATGCAGTCTTGATTATCTTCTGAATCCGTTCAACTAGATATTCATACAGATTTCATTTCAAATTTTATGATGGGTTGATATCAGTTGGAGAGCCACTGGAAACCAACATGCAATACTGGATAATTGTTTCTTCCTAGTTTGGGATAAATCGGCAGTACGCACCTAGCGTCAGGGTTCGAACCCAGGACCTTCAGGTTAAAAGACAAGCTTGTAGACGATTCATCCACTGGGACCCCATTCATTGGCGTATGAATTTTAACTTCAATCAGTTCGAGGTAAATATGTAATAACAGAAGACAGAGGGCCAGGCAACAGATCCTCTATTGAGAAAATCAACAGATATGTATAGATTTTTATGCACATTATTATTCGTTGTTGTTAGCAGGGAAGCGTAGTCTTCTGATTGGTTGTTTTCCTGATAAAGGTTATTCTGTCATCTCTTTGTTGCCGTTTCTTAGACAGTCCGGTGATATATCTATCTACACATCGTATCCGTCCACGCTAAGTCTCCTGTGATTGGTTGTTGAGCTCCTCAAGGTTAGGCTTTATTCTTGCCTTTTTCTCATGACCCTGATTTGGGACGTAAACACTGACGTAAATTGTTGCTTACAATTTTGGCTTGCGGACTGCTCCCACCACAAATATAGTGCAACCATCAGCCAATGTCACCGGAGAAGCCTGTGGGTGCGTAATGTCTATGAGTCTGGAACTAAGATGAAACAGCTGTCCAGTACTCCCTGCCTTGCTGATATCTTTTAACTGATATTAACCTGTAATCAAACTTGAGACAAATTAACTAGACAAATCATACTGTCCATGTTTTTTTGTTTGTCTACAATAACCAAGTATCATTGATTAATTAATTGAATTGATTGCCGTATATATTATTATTATTATCATTTACTTAGGACCCCAGTAGAGAACATTAGACGTCCACAGTGCATCACTACTGCATCCTATTCACTGTATTCCTTATAACTGGTTCCATGATTGCGTGTAAGCTCTCATCTCTTCACACTCTCTCTCCTTCATGTCACCCTCGGGTTCCACTTGAGGTTCTGTTGTCTGATGTTCCTCAACAGTCTCTGTTTAGCGTGTGACCGATCCATCTCCATTTGCTTATGAATGTTTGTTGGTTCGTTCGCAGAGTTTCTTCTCTCTAATTCTTTCTAGCCATGTAATCTTCAGTATAGAGCCAGAGAAGTCAACTGTCAATAAATTCTGTAGAGTAGCCTGTTGGAAATGCTTTTCGTGAGCACCTGGCACCAAGTTTCTGACCCATATAAAACAACTTTCTGACATAACATTGATGCTGAAAATCCAATTCCAATTGTTTATATTCCGAGTACAATAGATTTCAAATTAATGAAGACCTATCTTGCTTTTCCAATGCTGCCTTACTTTGATATCTTCATCTGTGTGTACCGCCTGCCTGTAGTTGACTGACTGGATGCTGTCTGGATAAGTATGCAAGCAATATTAATGAAATCACCTGCTTGTGGCTCATTACCTTAAAATTAGACCCTAGTATTCCGGTGTATTCAGCTTTGATAATTATAGCAATTATTCCTCAATTAACTGATTTTTTCCTTACAAAGAATATTGGATTAATTATTACTATGTACAGTAAAAAATGTGCCACATCATTTTGTAAAGAATCGAAGACATTGCACTTCAAACTGGTGAATAATAGTTGCTTAACTCTAGAACCAAATGATATATCATGTAATATAATAGTCACTTTTTAACACATGATAACACCATGATGAATTATTAACTGAGAGTTTGAGGCAAAAAAAAAACAAAAAAAAAAAAAGATCTTTCTCAGCAATCAAATTCATGTGTAATCAATCATAACTTTGTTTTTTTATTGTATAAACGTTTGCCATTTGTCTGATCTTTCTAAAAATTGAAACAAAAATAATTAGGGTAATTTCATGTACTTTCATAGTATGTAGTTCATCATGTGTATGAATCTTAAAATGGAGGTGTAAAAATAAAAAGATTTAATAAATAGGCAATTTAAAGATTACGCAACAAGGTGATAATTACTGAATTAAAGGCGACAAGTAGAATAATACTGGAAATTTTCAAGTATTGTTTTCGCTTGGATTGTGTCTGGTTGTTTGGAAGGTTTCATCATGAGCTGACATCAGTTAGAGAACTATTGGAAAACCTACAGGGAGTACTAGACAGCTGTTTCGTCCTAGTTTGAGATGCACGATGTCATTAATTGGCAGAAGTTAGAATTCATGGGATGGCTGGCCATTGGATCGGGTCCCAGTGGTTTAATGGTCTACGAGCTCGCTAGCCTTGTAACCAGAAGGTCCTTGGTTCGAACCCTATCGATGAAGAGTCCCAAACTAGGAAGAAACAGCTATCAACTACTCCCAGCTGGTTTTCCAATGACTCTCTAACTGATGTCAGCTCATGATAAAACCCTCCAATACTGGAAATTGTTCAAAGTGAAAGTGAGTAATAGCAATCGACATCATATGGGAAGGATATACAAAATGAAAAATAAGTAGGGCCAAAGTATGAATGGGCATGATCATACTTAAGCATTGACTGATTAAGAGCATGAAAGTTGGAAGGGTTGCACTAAGTTTTTCAGTAGTCCAGATGAGTAGCATACGTGATGATTTGGGCAGGTTATTATTCGCCTTGTAGATGACTTTAAAGGAGGAAAAGGCTGTAGAGATAGGGTGATCAGTATTGACCACATGTGTTCAATGACTGCGTTTCTTACAGTCTCACTTCCAACTCTTCGTAATCATGCGGGATAGTATTTCTTGCATCCTCTTGGACAAAACCCGAGTCGAACGAATGGTATACCTAGCTTCACACGAGCAGGTGAATTGATAAACACGCATACAGTTGGTCAACTGTGGGATCTTGTCCTTCAGGTTATTGAACAGTACTGGTCGACTAGAAAATGCTATTCTCAGCAATGCTGCAGTGAATGTCCTTTTTACAAGGACTGTGGGATCCTTCTTTTAAGGTTGTCGGCAGCTAAGTTACCTTTGAATACAAGGTTCATGTAGAACCTTTTTCTTGATTACAGACGTTAAGTCGCATTTCATAGGTGTTCTGACTGTCTGCTTTTGTTCATAAAACTGGTCTTATTATTTCTATACCCCCATATTTTGAGATTTATACATTTCATGAACTGTATAATAAAGTCTATAACCAGTTATTATTGTCACAGTTCACTATAAATTATTTTAAATAATCCCAGAGTGTTTAAGAAGAAATCAAAACAAGATTTTCCTGAACGTTCGGCTTTGTAAGCTACAGCTTCTTCCTCAACAGAATTATTCGGATTTTATTAACCATCAAAATATATATAGTCAAAAATTACATAAATTTGAGAAAGTTCCTTTGATGGTCACTTGTTGGTAGACATTTGTACCAATGGGAAAATGTCAACAGTCATCACATATTTGTAATGACTAAGGTCAAATTGTCATATATGCGTGTTTATCTGTATGAGTGTGTGTATGAATGTTGGTTGCTATATGGAAAACACGTCAAAACATGATAATATGCTTTTATAGCGGTCACAACGTAGGATTGAATATTTTTTCATTCTCTTCTGTTTTGCTTCAATAGAGACTGCCATATAGGTGATAGGTACCTTCCCTTCTCTCCTATTTATTGCATTCGATGTGGTTAAATGACTCAAGACCTAAGAAGTTAGTCTTTCTCTATGTGGAATTTCGACATTGCCGAAATCGATCTTAATGACTGATGTCTACAGGAAAATCTTGTTTTGATTTTTTTCTTAAACACGCTGGGGTTATTTTAAATAATTTATAATGATTCAATCTGACTCGGTGGTCAAATGGTTCCAGGAAATTCATAACATCTACAGTCTGGATACTTATGATGATAAATTCGTTGGAAAAGGACTATTCGCTGAAATGCGAATTAAAAAAGAAACAGACGATAGGTAGAATACAAATCTAGTGATCTTTTTTTGTCAATGTATAACGACAGAAGACAAGAGTCATGCAACAGATCGTTTATTGAGAAAATCAAGAGATATTTATATTTTTATGTACATTATTGTAGGTTTATGTTAGCAGAGAAACACAGTCTTCTGATTGGTTGTTTTCTCCCTGAAAGTTAATCTAACATCTCTTTGTGACCGTTTCCTTGAAGGTTAGACCATATATCTGCGAATCGTATCCGCCCACGCAAAGTCTGCTGTGATTGGTTACTGAGTTACTCTTTGTTCTTGTTCTTTTCTCATGACCAAGATATGGGACGTAAACATTGACGCAAATAGCTGTCTATCAATTTGGCTAGCAGACAGCACTCACCACATATATAAGGTTTCTAAATTTTTTAAACCGAAAGTTGCACACCTTATTAAAGGATGCTGTGATTGTAACCTTACTAATATTTCTTCTAATTTTTCTTCGAATTCAGGTTTAGCTGTTCCATTCCCTTCCAACCAGAACTGTTGCTCAGATTCATCGCATTCCCACCTGTTAACGAACAGTCTTTCATGTGATAAAATTCCCAGTGATATTCCTTTTCCCCGACGAGGTTCACAGTTTAATCCAAAACTGACCAACTTACCAGCTTTACCAGCTTCAAATGAGATTCCCCCTAACTTATTCCATAATTGTTCTTCTATGTCTCCGGTTGCCTATTTTTGGCCACCTAACCGGTTGACATGTCCTCCGGTTTCTGGTTTCCCATCTCCACCGAATATTTATCCTTCCCCTGTGCTCCGCTTTCGTCCTACATGTACACAAAACAACATATTAACAGGAGTATGTCCCAGCAACAGTGAATACCAACTGCCGAACACTTCACCTTTGTGTTTACAATGTAATAATAGGAATTGTCCGAACAATCCTCCCCCTCAGCTTTGTACTTCTATGGTGTCTGGAGAATTTCCGTGTGCTTTCCAGACTTCGATTCCCCATCCAAATCAGGTAGGTGGTAATATTTTCTTTAACTTTTCACTATTTATTTTGAAGAATTACTTACATATTTAACAGGAGAAGATAAGAGACTCGGTAACGGACAAACTCATCACATTTATACATTTTAAAAGTCGGCTAGGTCAGAGGAGAATAAATTGTTCTGATTGGTTGGCACTTGGCCCAAGGTTAAACAAGTCTGATCAATGAGGTTATTTCATGTCCACATCGTAAACTAAATACAGATTTGAGGAATAAACACTTCTACCTGTGCTGAAACAATCGACTTAAAATGTTGAAAGATATACGGATTATCTTACAAGTATATTTACATAACATTTTTATACAAATAAATTTTTTCGGTACTACAAGAATAGTCTTTTCGTTTTTCTGTAGAAGGAATCTGCCACTGGAAATTCAAATATCACTCATAATAAATTCGATTTATCCAGAAAACCATTTTTATTCGACACAGTAACAACAGCTTTGAGACGTCGCAGTAGTAGTTGGTTTCGGCATAACTCACAAAGTAATCGTAAATCAAGTAAGCTATGAAGTATTTTTTTTCCAAAACTTTTATTTATCCATATTGATTACTATTGATTTCTGCTATCTTCTGGAGCATGGAAGACTTTTGGTGACGTGGCTTATGAGCTCAGCTTTCATTCAGTGGGTCCTGGGTTCGAACCCTGCTCCAAATACTTCACCATGGGCACTTGGGTAGTGTGGCTCACGGCCTCACAGACATTAATGCTTGTGTACTTTTTTCCTCTTAACTATACTGGCTGAAAAACTCATCGCTTCGGCAGGCGCTATCATGCAAGAGAGGCCAGCTAGTCATTATAGGAAAACAGAACAGTTCATTATCCATGCTACTGTTATATTTCATGCACATTTCTGTCATTATAGTTCATTTGAATTCGTTCTTCTCTTCTGTACCTTCACCTGTGAGATTTATTGTTGTGCTTAAACTTTCGAAGTGAAGGATCAACTCTGACTGTTAAGTCTCCGGATTTCTTCAGCGCCAGTGCTCACTACTTCAGGCGGTTAAGCAGTTATCAGATTAGTCTCACCTAACGGTCTCCTCGCCCAGTTTACCAGTTCGTTAGTTTCCTTACTGGTTCTAAGCTCGGGAAAAGAGGGCAAGTTGGGTGTGGGGTTAACCCCCCTAACCCACCAAAGTCAATCCAGATGCTGTAGGAAAACCCGAAACTTCAACCTCTTTGAGATAACTCTAACCAGGTGCACACTTCTGATGAATTCAGTTCTAATCGAGTAGGACAGCCGTCTTGTATTTATAGTTCACTTCTATCTGGCTAAATATAAACACTAATGTGTTTTACCTGAATGGTTTCCAAGTTCTCACATCATTCAGCATACCTCTGTATTAATGTAATTAATCCTTTACATTAATTCCTTAATACATGAAAAGGTTAGCTGTCTTTGATCATAGGTGTCTGCGTTCTATCTCCCGTGTGAAGTGGTATAATAAAGTGAGCAATACTGAGGTTAGGCGTCGAGTGCTAGGTAAGGAGGGGAAATCAATCGATGAGACTGTGAAGCTACATCGACTGTGATGGTTAGGTCATGTGTTACGTATGCTTAGCCATCTCCTTCGTCGACTGGCGATGTCAGCTAACACAGGGTCAGGCTGGAAAAGAGGTAGCACGTGGTGGTCAAACCAAAACATGGCTTCATCAGTCAATGAAATCCACAACAGTTAGTGTAACCCAGTCACGAAAAGGTGTAGACTGGCTTCCTGGTTGACGTCCTCTGGACGGGAAACACCAATGGCTTGAGTGAATTGGTGATATGGCTCAAAATCGTTCTCAATGGTTGGCGCAGATGCCTCCACTCCTTGTGACTTATAATACCTAATGAAACTATATTGCTCTACGTTATTACTATTCCTTTGTCTCATATCTCTGTTCACTATGTCTCTTTTATACATTTCTTCTCTTGCTTTGTGTGCTACATGGAGTGTGGCAACTTAAAGTGCTGCACATCGGTGCAAAGTTCTATGTTGAAACCAGACAGACACACAGACAGTAATCATTTCTTTAAAGTATCAATAAAATATCTTTTATATTGTTGAGTATATGTTCTCATCAGCATCTTCCGTCTCTTATCGGGTTATACTTATCACATCTGTATTTTTTCCTCTAATTTTAGAGCCGTGATACGTTTTTCCCCATCATTTTCTTTGTGATGATGATACTCCACACGTCGTCGTCTTCCCTGAGGCCCCCCGAATCCCATGTTGTTGTGGTGGTGGTGTTTATTTTTTATGAGATAAATGTCTTTCTTCTTCATTATTATTACTTTATTTCATATCTGTTGTGACAAATCAATTTGAACAAGATACTTTTTATTATTATCCTTATCATGATGATAATGATGTTGATATTCGAATGTTTATTATTGATGCCAAGCTTATTTTCTTACTCTCTCTCTCTTTTTATAAACGTCGCTTAGACACAGTAATGTTGATTGTTATATTGTGTATTCATTCGTTTACGTGACTACTATTACTCTGATTTCTTCACTTATTTTTTTTTTCTTGCTTATACACAGAGAGACAAAAATTATGCATATTAATTAATTATCTCGCATATGATTCAATTGAATTCATCACATTTTTGTCATTTTATTTCCTATGAAAGTTCTCTTTTTCTTGTTGTTATTGGTCGAATCACAATTTACTTATAGATATATATGCTAACACACACACACACACACACACAATGTACAACTAACTAAAAACCTCTATTCTTTTGTAATACACCATCCAGGTGTAGACATTATTGTTACTGATGACTGTTGACAGTGAACATCAAAAGTTATGCTCTTTATGATAAAATAATAAAATAAAAGAAGTTTTAACGTGATACATTGTACATATAGATATACATATATATATGCATAAATCAGTTACTTTTTTTCTCTCTTCTTAACGAATTTATTTAGAATAGAAAATGTGAACTTTTGAAAACATATCTATGCTTTACTAATTTGACTGAATCATTATCCTTTAATAATCATCCAGGTTTTGAACAAAATCTAGTTCTTGTGTTTTTTTATGTTGGGGATACTTTGGTTTACATCTGTGTATTATTTCACTACTTTGTCTCTCTCAGTGTTTTGATATGTAGATCGTTGTTTTTCTTCTTATTTGAACACAAATCTGGTACATCATGAGTACTCTAATGGGGTGCGCTTCTTGATTTGTGTGGATATATCACGCAGTGAAACAGTATTATTTACTGCATGACGTTTCGAACAAAATTTATTGTTCATAATCATATCAATTGTAATCACACGAGTTTTATAGTCTTCTTTGTCCTCTCCAATTTGTCATCGTTGGGGTAGTAGAATTTTCCAGGTATCTGGGTGAACAGGTGTTGAATCATTCCTATTACACGTATTTGCAGTTGATTCGATAAACAAAGCTTCTGTTATTAATCCCTCCCTTCACCCTGTAACATTAGATTTTAAAACTGTCATCCTATCCCATCCTATTGTATGGTTGTGTGTAACTGTAACTATAAAACTCAAGTGTCAAAGTCGTGTGATTATAAATGATATGATTATGAACAATAATTAGTTTTGTTCGAAACGTCATCCAGTAAATAATACTGTTTCACTGTGTGATATATCTAATTAACAAACTAATATGGAATTTATTCAATACTACTTGTGGTCGTTTCTTAGAAAGTTCAGGTATATATATGCAAATCGTATTTGCACACGTTAAGTCTGCTGTGATTGGTTGGTGAGTTCCTCAAGGTTAAGCTTTGCTATTATTTTTTCTCATGACCCCAATTCGGGACCGAAACACTGACGTCAATTGTTGTCTACAATTTGTCTTGCAGACAGCTCACACCACTAGTCAGTGTGTAGCGGTTTTGCTATACAATAAAGACTCACATCCTCTGGTGAAAAGGATTGATTTGTTTCACTTCGAGTGAGTACGTGATAAAGTTTGAAATTCCTTTAGTGTATGGGATATCTGTTGAGACCTGAGAAATATGGTTGAGCCGTTTAACTCCTCCTGGCACTGTAGTACAAGCTTAGATAGTCGATTGATTATGTGTTCAAAGTTATCGTCTCACCACTCTTTTTACAGACTACAAAAAGCTTGTACTACAATGCCAGAAGGGGTTATAGAGCTCAAATATATTTCTCAGGTCTCGACAGATATTACGTGCATTGCAGATGAAAACTCTGTCACGGACTCACCCACTCGAAGCTAAATAAACCAGTCTTAATCGCCAACAAATATGAGAAATAATTATGTAGTAAAAGTGCAACGCAACGATGTAGAATTCCTGAGTAGCAGAAAGAAATCTTCTCTACAATTTGGGGATATCCCGATTGAAGCGGTGACGTGTCTACAGGCATCGTACGTTCCTCAGAGTGTGTGTTCTTTCAGACTCATCAGCGAGCGTTACGTGTGGCCGAGAATAACCACTTAGATGCCTACAGTGTCAATAGTTAAAGGCTCCTAGATACACTATAATGAGTTCACAGAAACTTCATCTTCATGATAGAGGTTTCCAACACGAGCATATATATTGTTGGATTTTGGCAGAGATATAGATGGTTCACTCGTAACCTTATGGCCTAGCATCCGCCCTCTAAATAAGATATCTGCGGAAAACATTAGTTCTCCTGGATAGCTAGGTATCATATTATGGTGTACCACCTGCTGTTGGATCCAACAGGAGACTACAGTTTCAGTCAACAGTGTGTCAAGAATACTCTCCTCGGGTGAACTACATCTCTGTATGTCAACCGGTAGCAAACAGTCTAGTGAAATGATTCCACAAAGTGATAAATCTTATCGGAGTGAACATCCACCCTTAACACTGTTGATTATTCCACTATCCGTGAGAGAAGACTTGGTGTGAACAAGAAGCTCAACTTCTTTATAGTGCGAAGTTACACCTTATTGGCTAATCAGTAGCCTCTAGCGATCCAACAAACATATGTATTTTTGCGTTCGCCAAGCAGCTAGCTAAATAGATTCTACAACTTCAATCATCAGCAGCTAGGCAGTGTCCTCGGTGACAGAAGGTCCACGGGTATCTGAAAACTTGCGAATCCATGCACCTCCGTACATAGGGACTTTCTAGTATTTGGGCTTGCAGACAAATACTTCACAGAGAACTTAAGCGGTTGACTATATAATTAGGCATGCATGTCTATAATAGCTAAATATTTGTAACATTCACAGAAAAGTCTGTAAAGAGTCAGAGATTGTTTGTAATTTTGTGTAGGCTGGAAAGAATCTAAAAATTCCTGACGGTCACTTTTAAAAGACATATTCTTCATATCGACATCAGTTTTCAGCCATTAAATGTTGTGTAGAACAGGATGCAGTAAATGTGAAGCAGCTGACAATGGTCTGATACACGGACTTAAACAGAAAAGACGAACCATAAAATAAGTTGACGGGTGGCATCATTACCTTTTTCCGTAGAATTCTTGGTAAGCGACCGCAAAGTGATCTGTATAGAAGTACTACGTTATAGGCAGCTTGATGTTATGTAGCTGACATCAGAGCTCTGGTCGAGCTACTAGCGGTAGGTAATTCTTCAAAATTATTGGCCACAACATTAATCACTGTACTTTGGATTCTATATATATATTGCGTCCGTTCGTTCGCGCAAGATCAACAGCTAGTTAAGCAATCATCCTCACACTCCGATTCGGTCCCAAAATATACTTCGTAATTTGAACGATCATTTATGTTGTTGGTCTACGCAGAACGAATACGATAGAAGTTGTGAGTATTTGATCTTGCGTTAGTATACTTCGCACTATCTGGTAAGGTAAACACCCTCAGTCTATAAAAGCTCAACTCCGAAATTGCCAACTGAAAGTAAAATGTTCAATGTCAAAGTCTATGTTTAGCTCCGAAAGATTTTGAGCAAATTACTGCCCCTGATCGAATCAGCTGTTGGAATCCGATCTATCCACAACGCCCAAAAGTTTTACTGAAATAATATCTTTCTAATGATTTACAAGGCCCTTCTTACCGACTTAATGATGTTGGATCACGATTTCTCTTGAATATGTTTGACTGAAACGTTGTCATCCTAGCATACTTCCTAGTCATTTCATGTTACGAGAAATTTTCTACCTAGGAGCGATGATTTTTGAGGCCATGCTGAACTTAACCAAAGAAGTCTTTTTCGAATGTCTCCTAATGTCATCCTTCAGTAGGCTTGAAGTAACCCATTTTATTACTCATCATCGTACTATACTTTCATTGTGTAATTGTACTTTGATTTGTTTATTACTCTAAATCTTGCATGTTAACAATTGATACATTTGTACTCGCTCGACTTTTGAATTTTGATTATGGCGAGAACACACATTCCTACACCTTCTCAAGTGTCTTCTGATTTACGTTGTGTGTGTCGAGTAAGCACAACGTTAGGACACAATTATAAACGAGAAGAAGTACTATGATATATGTGTACGCTAGTGTAATCAAAATATAGCAAAACAACAGGCTATCCATCATCGTCGCAGTAGGGCTTCAAGTCCTTAGCATGGAATCTGGCAATCTCTCCTTGAAAAGCTGGCGTTACGATAACAGGCACCCACTATTTGGCAGCTGTTCCCCTTCCAGAGAGTTTTGAAACAACCTACTGAATGGGATAATAAGAGTCTCCGTGCTCATGGTTAGAAGGTAAGTGGAAGACCTAATGTATGAATGTAGAAGGAAAATACATTCCAAAGAACATTTACCACTCGCATTATCACAACCCATCAGTGTAAAGTCAGCAATTATCTCAAGTCTTCTTGGATGTTCACAAGCTGGTAACACATGGGTCGGAAAATTCACAACATAAATAACTACTTAAATATTTCATTACTGAAATCAACACCAACACTATACATAGTCAAAACAGCAATCGCAAAATATGGACCCCAACAGTATTCAATATAAATATATCAGAAACGTCAGTCGATATCAGAAGAATACTCATTAAACACATCGTTATAATTTTCTTCAAAATACTAGACACTAAAAATCCACCTTGTTTATGCATAAGACCAAATTCCTATGGATCCAAAGTTTAACTGTGTCTACAGAATAAAATGCTTTGAATGTGATGCGAGACACATTGGACAAACCTCGAGAGATATCAAGACCAGAAGAAATGGACGATGCGTAGCATCTATTCGACCCCCAAGAAAGTCTTTAGAAATAGTTAGCCATCGGTCTACTAGCTATGGATAAAGCGATAAACTCGAATAGGACAATATTGATGTCATCTGGAGAATCTCCAGAAGTCATAAAGAACATCTCACATCAGAAGCATTCCAAGTTAAGTGGAGTTCAGATTGTCTGGATAAGAGTTACTGGCTAAGAATAAATCTGATCCCGTTCCGTCACCACTCTTTTGAGTGAGAAAATCAGCACAAATATGATAGGCGGTCTCATAATGTAAACATTAGCCGTTTCTACAAACTCATAAACTTGTCAAATCCAGCCGTCTGCAAATGGTTTGTTATATTTACCAATTCACCAACGTGACAAATATGAAATTGCTCCGTCCTGCAAAGCGACGATTAAGTTGCTGTAAATAACCTGAAATTTTGACAATTATGGTTTAGCACTTATCCGGTTCTTTTCCGTTTTTTTATTCATTGAGAAATATAAACGCTTTCAGATAAAGCAATAAGAAGTCGTAATTTGTCTGAATCGTGTAATGTATTTGCGCAACACATTTCGAACAATTTGATGACACACGGACTTGTCATTGGAATATATATGAAATTAATAAAGAGTTAAGAGGTGAGAAAATAGACTTAGGTCAAGTTTAAAGGACATATTCAAGATCAAAGTAACAATGAAGACCACTAAACCAAATAGCAGAGGTAGTAGTACATCTGCTATGGTGACAATACAAAATTTACCAAGGAAGGTCTAATGTGATGACGAATTGTTTTTGAACACATAAAGGTGGCTTAAACTTTCTAATTGCTAGGGCTTCCACAAACTTTAGGATACACCCCAAACACGTTTTATAGATAGGTTTGAAAGATGTGTTAACGTCAATTTAATGTCCTGTCTCTATAATATGTTTTGCAATAGAGGAGCTAGGTCTCCTGTTCTCACCGTTTATGAGTTCTGAAGATTCTATTTGTTTCTGGAGCGATTTAGGAATATGCTCTGAAGCCCTTACTTTACTTGAAGAGATCGATGAGTCCTTCCTATGCATGTGTGTCCACACGTACATTCAAATTGGTAAATACAGTGGGATGTGACGTCATTTTTCCCATGTTCGAAGGGCTTAGATAGATATACTAACTTTACATTCTCTATTATTATGATATTGGCTGCATAAAGTCTTTTTGACAGCAGCATTCAGTCTTTGTCTAGTTATGAAGCTGCTTTGATGCCCCATATAGGGTAGCTTGATGTACACGTCTTTCTTAGTGGCGAGTTGGAGTGTGGGTCTTGGTGTTCTATTTTATGTCTCTTAATGAACTTGTTTGGATAATTATTATCAACCAGAGTTTGTGTCAACTTTCTTTCTTGCTCATCAAGTGTGTCATCAGCGCACATTCATTGGATTCTACTGAAGAGGCACCTTTGTACCGAACAGGGCAAAAACTGTGATAATTAAGACACTGTCATGTACAGGTAGGTTTTCTACAAATAGATCTTTTTATTGACCCATCAAGCCGTCGACTGAGCAATATGTCTAGGAAAGATAAATAATTATTTTCCTCTTCTACAGACGTAAGTGATATGCTGTTCTGGACTTCATTCATTCGATTTAAAATTGAGGTGGAAGAACAAAACTTATCACTGATGATTACAAGAATGTTGACTGATAATCTACAATAGCAGTAACCTGACTTTCTTCATTGGTGCATAATGTCAAACTGAGGTTGCCCATCAGCGAATAAAACCTATGCGTTATTGCTACCCTTCCGACATCATTCCTTCTCAGTTCCCTTCCTTACATTGTTGCCCTTTTGATAGGTATTTCGCTGTCTTCAATGTGGAGTGATAAGATAAGTCTTCTTCCGAATGAGGTTTGATGACAAATGATTTGAAATTATTTATTCTAACTCACTTGTGCTACTTTTAAAGCCTCTAATATAGCCGTGGCAGCGTTTGACAAGTTTCCTGATTCTATTGTTGCTTTACTCATTGATCATGGATGATATTGTTTCCAGTTTGTGATGGCAGTCAATAGGTCAAAAAATCCATCTCAGCATTTGTCCTACCTAAATTTATTGCTCATGTAAAAACATTGTTTAATATAATAAAAAGATATCTAATCCTTTCATCTCACGAAGATGTTAGAACTAAGAAAAGTTCCAACGAATCCGTCTGCAGGTCCACCTAGGAAATCCTGAGGACTGAGTGAAAGTTAACCTTACGTTTTTGAACCTCAAAATAGACAAAAGGTCCACAGGCCCACTCTGAGATAAGAAGTATTTACTTAAAACATCTATAACGATAGCTTGTTCATCACAGTATAAAAGAGCGGCCTAGGTCCCATGATAAGGTAGAATATGGATACTGGTTAAATTTCTCCAGTGAAGTTTAAAGTTAATGTTCTTCTCTGCATTGAACAAGTAGATGAATGTGTGCGCCCAATCAATATACCTTGGTAACGTACCAAAAGTTAAGGTGGTTAACAACAACAACTGGCGTGATCTCTTGTTTTTGACGTCTACTCACACTCTTGATTTCGGCCTTGACATCTCACTGCTACATTTGTGGGTTGTTTTGGCTTGTCATGAGAATTTTCTAGTAAAACAAAGATCGCGAGTACTAGAAGTGACGTTATCTTGAAAAATAGTTACATAAGCTTCAAAAACGTTATCGTCTGTTTTCCGAAGTGTCGAGTGGGGCTACATCAGTCAAAGAGATACATCCCTTATAATGGAATTAACCGAGGTTCTAGAATCATTATTTAAGTTTAAGAAGTGGTTGGAGGAAGTCGATAGATTTATTCAAGCTATTCACTAAGATTTGGTTATCGGACTTCTAGCGTGATTTCAAGCATTGCGCTACTGTTGTTGAACAGTAGGTAAGTAAGAGAAGATACCTCAAATAAGTTGCGGTGTTTTGGTAGCTATGTAGAAAAGTTACACTCTAGCAGCCACGCTCAATAACTGATCTGAAGGAACTTCAAAATGATCATGCACAGTCAATGCTTCTTGAAGCAGTCGATCACTTCATTTATCATGCATGTATTGCGTTCTTAGTTTACTCTTCACCTAAGGCAGTTGCGCTCATGTGCGATTACACTTATATTCCTTATGAATTTAAATTCATAACTTTTAAGTTCACTTCATAATTATTGCTTGTTCAAGGCTATTTAGACTGTTGTTGAAATTCGTCGAGTAGTTGACTTAGATTGAGAATTAAAAATTACCTGTTAGTGTTTGGTTTAAGGTACTTCTTCAGGTGGAACCTTTCTCCCAGTTGCTGAAGAGCATTTTCAGTAATAAAGTCTATTTATTCGTTATATATACTCTCCTCCACTAAAAATGTAGGGGCTTTTTGGGTTTATGAGGAATTTTGTGGCATTCATAATGATTTTGGAGCTTTCACAAAAATGTCGAAATCCTGTCTCATTCCTCCCAGAATTTTACATTAGACTGCCTGAGATTGCTCCATCCCTCGAAATCGCCCCACATTTTTCCATTTGATCTTTGACTGTAGTTACAACTACTACTTTTCTGCGCAAACTCATCCACCCACTCGTTAGCCTGGATAACTATTCTTTATCTTTACCTTTCTGTCTATTGCTTAACGTTTAGCAAAGTCTGGACAAATGTTCATGCGGTCTTGTACGACGGCTACACATAGCTGCGCACCCGTCTTCGTAGATGGATATGTTCGGTGACGTTCATCACACTGTAGCGATCCTCCTTTTGGGGACACAACTATAGAGACCCACAATAATTGTGATGCTGAATTTCGGGATGCAAAAATTAATGGTAGTGCAATAACTGGCTCGCTAAAGATAATATTATTTAATCTCCACAAATTTATGTGAAGTTACTCTATTTAACTTCTGTGTAGTTATTCCTAGAGAATTAAGAAGCATGTTACAAGTTTTCTTCATGTTTAAAAATTGAATTTTGGGAGTTAATTCACGAAGATTTCTGTTAGGTGTCGTTTAAATAAAACCATGTGTAGCTATCCACATTCAGACGTCATTTTGATAAGAATAGTTTCACCTGTATGCGCAACAACATATGCTCCATCGAACACATCACCAACGCAGTGCACCTCAGTGGAGTGGTCTCTCTACCAATGAGATTTTTGTGGGTGCATATTACGAAGATTTCTGTCTCCGCTGTTGTTATTGTTTGTTGCCATCATAAAACCCGGTTTTGGCTTGACAATAAGCTCACTTTAGCTCCCTGTATAGTCTGTAGCAGTATATAACAGTCTCATAGAAACTCCATGAATATTGAAAGCGAGTCATCCTCCCTCTTATTTTAGAGGGTGGAGATCAATAAAACAAATCACGTTACGTACATGTAACACTACTATCGGCAATGTCAATGCAATGGAAAGCATGGTCGACCATTACGTTGGAAAAAACTTTGATGTAAATAACAGTCCGTGAAACACAACGATTACGGAGGGTCACGTCCTCCAAACGGAGTGGTTTGTCGATATAAAACAACTGGATGTTGTTTCAACACGCAAATATTAAAGTTCATGGGGTCTCTTAATCTTCTGGCTGCATCCGAAGACATTCAGCATGATATGCTGCTTTATATGTTAGGCTGGACAGACTTCGAATCGCTCCTCCGGTAGCTTGCAGATTATATGGACTGAAGACAGGTCTCCCTTAATTGCTGATCCAGGCGTCTATTTATCTCCTGATTTTCACAAGAGGGCTATTCTGGGTTTAGTTTCACTTTGTTTTATCATCCATTGATGACCTTTTGAGAAGTTCGGCGTATCCGATTATCTTTTACTTCCAGGACGTACACTTGGAAACCATAAAAAGCGTGAACAACTCAAGAAATACCAAAGACCCTAGAAATCTGCCCATTAGTTAATCAAATGACTTCCGGTCTTAGGAGATGTAGTGTTCTGATTTTACACCCCAATAGCGCTAAACGTGAATTACTCTATCTTTCTATGGCTCTAGCTTTTCCTAGGTGTCATGATAATGGAGAATTGTCACAAATTGTGTGGAAGAAGTGGCTGTGACATATGCTGTGCTTGACTTCATGCATGAACAGCTCAGTGTACTGATTTCAGAGCTATTCTTAAGGCTCTACAAAACTTACGTACAACCACAACTCGAGGCCAAAAATTCCTTAGATGAGAGGCCAACCTGTTGGAAGACGTGCATTCGCTTAAAGCATTTCAGCAATGGGCCAATGAAACTGAAACTCTACACACATGGCTGTTGCGAGTTTAAGGCCACTTTGAACTGACTTCGTTTCAGCATAGAACTTCTCGCAGAAGTGCAGCAGTTCAAGTTGCCACACTCCGTATACCACACAAAGGTATAGAGAAGAAAGAAAAAATATCTGTGGTGAAACACAGCTAGCATTTTCATATTTTTCACTTTCGAAGGCCGTGTCTCACAGTCATAAAAGAGGGAGGAGCGAACTCCTGTTCAGTACATATTTTCTTTGATCGACAGCCAGTTATGACACACCGGTGATGGCGTAAGTTGGGAAATGCCGCACGAGTCATTTGCAACTGTGATGGGATTTCATCAGCAACCTGTCCATCAGTGCTGATGCAACTTCCTAGATAAGTGACGTGGTCAACACTTCATTCCCTATCTTAAAGCTAAATTTTGGTCTAGTTCCAGTCCTGTGGCACACTGAACACTACCTTCTAGAATTATCCAAATAAGGTAACTCCACAAGGTCGTCATTGGGTTGCTCATGGAAACTCATGAAGGATCATCCATCAAATAGTTAAGACTCAATTGTGCTCATACTTTTATTTGCTTCGGGTGTGCAGCCTCTGTAATGTATTACTGGAAGCTGTATCCACCACAGTATCCCTGGACTGCCTCAAACGGGGTGACTGAATGATCATGCAGAAACACACGAACTGAGCTCAAATGATTAGCAATCTGACTAAAGAGAAAAGTAATTTCATCACGCTGCTCTACTACCAATCTATCTCACCCACCTGCAGCTAATACTCATGTCACAATCATAATCTATTTTGTCTTACTCTTGTCTACTCAAGATTTTCGCGTTTCTTTAATCTTCAAGTTTATGGTTCTTTAGCAGATTAAATTCTCTTTCTACTTAACTTCGGTACCTAGATTGTAAATTCCGCCCAAAGATGTGTATCACTAAGTGTACGTGTTTGCCGACAGTTATATAGATGCACCTCACTTATTATTGAGACCATACTCTATTTTTTATGGCTGAAAATATGATATGTATATAGTCATTAGTTTGTGCGTCAGTGGTCCAGTTGTAGAATACTCGCCATCCACGCACATGATCCGGGACTCGATCTCCGGCCGACGCACTGGTAAACTTCACTAAGCTGGTAGTAAGGCCGGTAAAGAGGGAAGATTAGGCGTAAGGCCAACAACCCCACCGCGTAACAAGTAACCACTGCTACTTAAACTTTAAAGCTCTAGCTTAAGACCCTATGGCCCACTGGGGACATAAAGGAATAAAATGACAATAATAATAATAATTGTCCTAGTTTATTTTCATTGGGAAAAGTAAATCGGTCGAATTGTTCAGATCTCCATAATGATTCATCAACACCGTTTATAATTTTGTTTTTTCCATCCTGAAACCTTTTTAGTTTTAAATAAACCCAACCTTTTGGGCAATCAATATCACTTTTTAATCTAATTTGCTTAACTTTTAGCTCCTAAATTTTCATGTTAATGTATGGTCCTTAGAAAATTGTGTCTTTTGGGTTGTATAAACCCATGTAGTGATACTATCCGCCTGAAAGATCCATCAGGAGATTGGAAAACGTTCTACGTCCGTGACAAGTTAGATACTGGGTAAGTTTACTTTATGAATATAAATCATGAAATCAATCTTACAGTGGGTTTAGTCGCATCGATCTGGTTGTTGACAAGACGTCGAGACGACTGTTCGCCTTGAAACGAATTGCATGTCATTCAAAGGATGATGAAATAAAAGCACTAAGAGAGGCCGATTTCCATTTAAGCCTCCATAGTCATCCTAATTTGCTGCCTTGTGTGGCCATTGGCCTACAAAAGACTGTTCGACAACAACAACAGGGGGCGATTTCAGAAGTTCTGTTGGTATTGTGTTACAGCAAGGTAAATATATTTTTTATACATGTGCATAGGTTTATCATAGAAGGGTACACTTCAAAAAGAAATTGATATCCGATGTGCACAGAACAATGTCTTTTCTATTCATTCCATAAGAAATTTAATGATTGGCATATGTGAGGGCCTTTTAGCTCTTCTTTCTCTTGATACCCCAATGTGTCACAGGTAAAATGGGTAGTTTATTAATTGTATTCACCAGAGACTTGAAACCTGGGAATGTTCTTCTGTTTGAGGATATGAGACCAGTCTTGATGGATTTCGGTTCTGTTACTCCGGCCATTCTTCATATCAAGAACCTGAAAGATGCAGGAAAATGGAAGGTATTATCTTTTTTTTTTCGCTTTCATTTTATGTTTTAGGAGTTTGCTGAAGAAAATTGTTCTCTGACTTATCGAGCACCTGAATTTTTTAATCCAACAACTGACCAAGATATAACGGAGAAAGCTGACATTTGGGTAGGTACATTCTAAAATCTTTAGCTTATGAACGCTGAATTGTAGTCTTTAGGATGTCTGCTTTATGCCTTGTTCTTCTTCAAGTCTCCAATGGATATTGTTCATTCTCGAGGTGATAGTATCGCTTTAGCTGCTTGTTCGTCTAATATATTCTTTCCCATGCATTCATCTTCACAGTAAGTCTAATTTAGCAATAAAGTCTACAAGTCGTTGTCTAATTGTTTTCGTCCACTTGTTGTCATCAGCTGAAGAAAGCAAGTAATTTTCGAGAGTTAGCTCATAGGAATTTTATTTATCTTAAGTTTGACGACGGATTGTTCGCGCTAAAACCACGAATATTAATAGAAGCTGCAATATTCATGGGCCATTGGGTCGGGCACCAGTATCTGAATAATCCACGGTTTTACCTTGTGACCGGAAGGTCCTGGGGTGTAACCCCAGTGCGTACATGCGTACCGATGATGAGCCCCAGACTAGGACGAAACAGCTGTCCAGTACCATATGCCTGTTTTCAATGGTTCTCTAAGTGTGATATCAATCTGTGGTGAGACTTGCAAGCAAGTAAATCAATACAATGAGTTTCCATCAATTGAGGTGACTGGGTAGCTGTTCGTTCTGCCCCACTTTACAACTGTGAAACGTGATTTTTGGAAGTGTAATATGAAAACGTTGTAGGTTTTTGTTCGTAGGTGTCTTCGCTCAACTGATGCTCACCTTAGACAGAGCAGCATGATAAGCAGTTATTTGGTTTAGACAACGATTGTTATGATTCTGATTATTCGATGTTGTGGTGAAGTTCTGTTGATTGAGGCGACTAGGATAACAGTTATTCATGTCAGACCATTGTGTCCATGGAAGGGTAAAGCTAGCTGAAGCAGTATTAGGTTGGGAGAGTTAAGAATATACAGGCCAAGATACTGTACGAATCCACAAATTCATTGACCGACTGTTTGTTGATCTGAGCCACTTCGTGTGGTTACTATACTTGGAATTTTAAGAATTAGTGGTTGGGGACATGATTCAAAGCCGTACACATTGTATTTATTATTAGTTTCCCCTTGGGTTCCGAGCGGGACATAGGGTTTCCACAGCGTATCTCCACTTTGTCCTTTTGTGTGTGGTCCTCTTTTGCTGGTCCCACGATTGTCCATTGTCTCTCATCACCACCCCGCATGATGTCCTCCATGTCACCCTCGGCTACAATGCCTTACTCGTCGTTCCCCATCCTGGGTTCCACTTGAGCAATGGTCTGGCGTGCTATGTCATTCTACAGTCTCCTCAGTGTGTATCCAGTCCATCTCCATTTCCGTCGTCATAATTGTCGAGCAATAGGCTATCGACTGATTTGTTCCAAGAGTCTCTTCAATATAAGGTGAAAGCAGGTGCTGATTAAAGTCTGCAGGTGGCCTGTTGGAAATGCCTTTCGTGACGCGAGCACCAAGTTTCTGACCCACACAGAAGAACTAACTGACTCAGCATCACTGTTGAAAATCCGAATCTTGTTCTCTATGCGTTGGAGTGCAGACGATTTCCAAATTGATTTTATCAGAGTGATGAAAGTCTGTTTCGCTTTTCCGGTTCAGTTTGGCTGGCTTTGATATCTTCATCCGTTCCAACTGCATGTAGTTGAAACGGTGCTTCCTAGATGAGTGAAGATAGTGACCTCTTTCAATTTTCTTCCGCTGTTATTGGCTGGTGCTTTTTGTTGTTGTTGGTTGGTTATCTTCGTCACCTATATGCTCGCACCAGCAAGTACAAAGACTCAACCATACCTTACTTAGCTCGTGTTCTGTGTGATAAAGAAAGCATTAGGCGTGACACCTATAATTCTTTAAATAGTCAGTAGTACAACTGGATCTCGTCTTTCCAACCCACATCATCAATATGTACAACATTTTCTTTCTTTCTTTTCCTTTTCTCTCTCTTCTTTTTCCGTTATGTGCTGCTTTGTCTCTTTCTCTCGCTTACGCCTGTTAATAAGACAGCTCCCACTTTTCTAACACCTTCAAACACTTTCAGCTTTACCTTTGCTACTGACATGCCAATGTATTGTTGTAATAATGAACTGTTGGTTTCCTCAATCTATGTGGAATTCTATTTATTGATAATGTACTAACTGGATGCAATACTGTACTAAAATTGCTGAGAATTCCATTCTGTATCACAAGTACTGTTTTGGAATAAAGCAAATTATTATTATTATTATTATTATTATTAAATACTCTGTCTTTCCTATGTTCAACTTGAATCGCTTTAATTACGTTTACATTATATAATTGAATTTTAGATTTTCCCGTCGATTGATTGATTGGACCGAAGTGCTCGGTCTCAGGTGGAGACGCTTCGACGATGTGTCTGGGCATGTGATCAGAAGTTAATTGGATAATGGTGACTAGTAGTGGAATCCAGGATGCGCTTTTCGTCCTATTTGGGACTCGTCACTGGATGTACCGGCATTCCTCAGTGAGTGGTGATTTTCCCACCAAGTGGTCTAGTGGATAACGCTTTGGTGTTTGAATTTATGGGCACTGGGTTCGAGCCTCGGTGGGAACATCATCACTCACTGGGGAATGCAGGTACATCTAACTGGCGAGTCTTAAATGGGACAGGCGAAATGCGCATCCTGGATCCCACTGCTAGTCAGTCACCATCCACCAATTAAATTCTACGTTTACATTAATCTAGAAAGAAATAGACTGGTTAAATATCCAAAGTGACTGACGTATTTGACAGCTACATCTTCAGCATATTATCATAAAGCTGTTTTAAATTGATGTTTCATACTGCAGGCAGAGGAAATGAAATGTTTTAGAGAAAAGTGCGAAATAGATTGACATTTATTATTATTATTATAGCTACAGTGATACAGGTTAATTTGCGAAATGTAACTCAAGTTGATCTGTTTTTTCCGTTTTATTATGTGATCAAATTTTCTGTCGAAGCAATTTTTTTCCAGTTCGTACACCTATTCCTCTTTATGTAAATTTGGATTAAGCAAGAACGATGTTGGTTTGAACAGAATAAGATGGTACTGTGGTGTTTGTGCTACTGATAAGATTTATCAGTAGTATATATATGTATATAAAGATGTTCATCGGCATGAAAAACATCAAATAGCGGGGAGATAGATTTGATGTCAATGAAAGCAAATGCTACATAGTTGTGGAGATACATGGTGTAACGACAGAAGACAGGGGTCAGGCAACAGATCCTCTATTGAGAAAGTCAACAGATATTTATAGATTGTTATGTACATTATTTTTCGTTATTGTTTGTAGAGAAGCAATGTCTTCTAATTGGTTGTTTTCCGGCTGAAGGTTATTCTGTCATCTCTTTGTTGCAGTTTATTAGAAAGTTAGGCCATATGTCTGCAAATCGTATCCGCCTACGCTAAGTCTACTGTGATTGATTTTTGAGTTCCTCAAGGTTAGGCTTTGTTCTTGTTTTATGTCGTGACCCCGATTCGGGACGTAAATATTGACGTAAATTGATGATTACAATTTTAGCTAGCAGGCAGCTCTCACCACGGTGTGAGATGTGAAAGTAGCACAAAGAAACACAATATGAAGGAAGGCTAGAAGTAGCACAACCAACACGGAAAATCTGTGCGAATGGGGATTTGAAGATATGGTGTACATAATTTCGCTACGTATAGATATGCTAAATTGCAAATAAACACTCCTTTACCAAGTCTCTCGTCTTCTACCGTTGAAGTACCATTGTAACAACAGAAGACAAGGGCCAGGCAACAGAACGTTTATTACGGAAAATCAACACATATTTATAGATTTTGATGTACATTATTGTAGGTTAATGTTAGTAGAAAATACAGTCTGTTGATTGGTTGTTTCTCACACAAAGTTAACCTTGCATCTCTTGTGGCTGTGTCAGATCATCCATATGCTAACTGTACCCGCCTGTCCATCTTGACCTTGTTTTCACATGACTAACATTGACCTCAATTACTGTCAACCAATTTGGCTAGCAACCATCTCTCACCACACCATGATTGTTTATTTCGTTGGCTTCTTATCAGCTACTTACAGCTTAAAGAAACTGATCAGGTTTATGTACAGACCAATTTTAACATAATTGCAGGTGTTACATGGTGTGAGTTTATGACATGAAACTCAAAACTTAATAAACAGTGCTCAGAAAATTACACTTATATACTTTACACCCAGAAAGTTGAAGTTTAAACAGAAATAAATGCTTGGATACAACAGCAGAAGAGTTATGTAATAAAAAGAAAACGTGAATAAGATGATGAGTAACTAATAAATTGAGCAACAATATGGTGGTGAGTTCTACTCAAATCGTAGAAACAAGAGACAAGCAAAGTTACTCTATATCAAAATGGGAGAGAGAGGTCAAATCCAGGCATTGCGTAATCAAATAAAAGAGTCTGTCTGTCTGGATTCAACATAGAACTTGGTACTGAAGTGCAGCACTTCGAGTTGCCACGTTCCAAAGAGCACACAAAGGTAGACAAGAAAATGAGTGAAGAGAATCTATAGAGTTTTGACAAGTATAAGAGTGAAACAGAATGAGTAATGGTAGAGAGGAATATGAAAGATTACAGAGACTGAATACATCTGCGTAAGCCATTGACAACGATTTTGAGCCATGTCACCTATTGTCTCCAGTCATTGATTCTTAGAGTCCCGAGGGCTGGCCCCAACCCGGAAGTCTGCATCTCCCTACCTGACTCAGTTTAACTGTCAGGGATTTCATGGATTGATGAGGCCATGTTTTTGTTTGGCCACCACTTACTCTTAACCAACCTGCACCTATATCAGCTAGTAATGCCCGTCGGGGGAGGCGATGGTTAGGCATGCGCAGCACGTGACCTAGCCATGTCAATCTATGTAACTTTATAGCCTCTTCGATTGGCTTTCCCTCTTTTCCCAACACTCTACGCCTGACGTCAACAATACTTACCTTATTATACCAGCTAACATGAGAAAGAGATCGTAGACATCTATGATCAAAAACAGTCAACCTTTTCATGTCTTCAACTCGTATTGGCCATGTTTCAGAGCCATAGAGAAGGACGGAGCGAACTGCTGAGCAGTACACACGTCCCTTGGTTGATAGTCGGATGTCACGCCTACACCAGAGATGGTGTAAGTTAGCGAAAGCAGTTCGAGCTTTTTGGATCCGTGCTGAGATTTCGTCGCCAATCAGTCTGCTGGTGCTGATACAACTTCCCAAATAGGTGAAGTGGTCAACATGTTCTATCACTTCGCTCCCTATCACTAAGCTAGGAGTTGACGTAGTCCAGTCCTGTAGTGAGTAGTATCTTACATTTTACAGGGACGAATCGCATGCCAAACATACGAAGATTGCTGCTCCAGGTGTTCAGAAGACCCTGCATTTTGTCAAATAAAAGAGAATGAAAGTAAAGACATCCATTTACCAGGGCGGGGAAAGACTCATGATAACTGCTGATGAGAAGGCAACGAAATAAGTGATGATACCATTACATTCTTCACAAACTGTTGTTCTTGTTTTATTCGATGTTTAACTCATGTGAACGTGTGTAATTTGAGTATATCAACTAATGTTCAAATGTTTTTTTGCTTAGAATTCCATCAGAAGTAATGAATCTACTGAAATCAATGCTGTCAGCAAAGCCTGAAAATCGACCATCACTAATACAGATTTTAGAATTCTTTAAAAATTTACCAACAGAAATTGAACAATGCAATATTCAAAATGCAATAACTTTTTCTCTTTAATTTTAAAGATTTTTGATCAACAACATCAAAAGTTTTACATTAAATTTTGTCTTTTTTTTAAAAAAAAAGCATATCTAATTTCTATTTTCTAGACTATTTTGCTTGTGTTTTATATTAACTGGGGGATTTTCGGTAAACAGCATACTTTTGATCTCTTTTTACAAAGTTAATTTATAAAAGATATTCTTTGTAAAACTGTGATTTAATTTGTTCCTTTTAGATTTTTTTTTGAATAATAATAATATTAATAATGATAGCTTTATTCTGATAAATGAATTTATATATATAATACAGAATTTCCAGCGCCTTTCATTTCAAGGTATCTACTCCCCTGGTGTAGAATATTCAAATAATGTTAAAAATCGATAATATATCAAGTGTTGATTTGACACTAGTAACTAGTGTGATGTGTGTCTAGTCCTCTGTTTGGTGCAGACTGAATTCTATCAAGTGTTGGTTTGCAGGGATTTGATTGGTTACAGAATTTCATCATGAACTGAAATTGGCTGGAAAACCATTGGAAAACCTGATTGTAGTTAGAAATCGTGGCCAGTGGGGTACAGTAGGTGGGGCGTGAGGAAAGATACTCGCCGACGACATTGGTTAGTGGTTGCCCTATATCTTGAATTGGCAGCTAGCCATTGGATCGGTTCCCAGTGGCTTAATAGTCCATGAGCTTGTCTCGTAACCATAAGGTCTTGGGTTCGAACCCTGGTGGTGGATGCGTACTGACCGTGAGTCCCAGAGGTAGGAAGGAACAGCTGTTTAGTACTTCATGCTGGTTTTCCAATGGTTATCTAGCCGATGTCAGCTCATGTTGAAATCCTGTAACCGATAGTATATTATTTGAAGCAATGTTGTTGTTCCACCCGAAGATTGCTTGCTTCAGTACTACTTCAAAATGTTTTCCCGTCTCCTCCTAAGAATTCCTGCTGGTAGGTAGTACAAACTTATTTGAAATAGTGCGAATTGTGACACATTGTAGTAATTAGATCATTAAAACAATGTGGAACAGAGTAAACACCATTCATTTTGATGGATAGGAGGGGATTTAGTTAAGTAGCCCGCCACTTGTTTTGATGCATATTCAATCTTTCCTTATAATATAACAATAACATCTTGGATTTTATTATTTAGCATACGTCTTATATTCGTTTCCTCGTTTCGATTGGCATAATACAAATGAAAGTATTGTTAGAATTAGAAGTTATTAGGTTCATCGAACGTGTCTTATGATCCAATGTGTATGGAGTGTATTTTCAGCGTGAAGTAGCAATCAAAATTGATGGACATCACAGTCAAATGACCTTGAAACAGCCAATCAGATCACTCAGCATTACAAATGGATGCTTTTCATAATCTTCACTACAAGTTGCACCCTGATTCAGGGTTAAAGTTAGGGTATGATTAAAGTAGTTCCATATTAGTTTGTTTATTAGGTATATCACACAGTGAAACAGTATTATTTACTGGATGACGTTTCGAACAAAATTTTATTGTTCATAATCATATCAATTGTGATCACACGACTTTGACACTTGAGTTTTATAGTTTTCTTTGTTCTCTCCTATTTGTCGTATGGGTAGTAGAATCTTCCAAATATCGGGGACAGGTGATGAATCATTCCTATTACATGTATTTGTAGTTGATTCGATAAACAAAGCTTCTGTTATCAATCTCTCCCTATACCCTGTGACATTAGATTTTAAAACTGTCATCCTATCCCATCCAGCCTATTGTATGGTTGTGTGTGACTGCATGTAGTGCTATAGCTGAACTATTCTCTAGATTTCTTATCTTATTCGGGTCAACCAATCTAGATTTTGCTAAGTTTTTATGTTCAGCTAATCTGACTGCCCCTGTTCTACTAGTTTGACCTATGTATTTGACCTGACAATCATTGCAGGGTATTAGATAAACTAAATTGTTTTGTCTTAAAGGCTCTACAGGATCCTTTAGCCGACAAAGCTTGTTTCTAATTGAGTTTGTGGGTTTGAATGCCGTTTTTATTCCTGCCTTGTTAAGAATTCTGCGTAAGGCTTCCGAGGTTCCTTCCTTGTATGTAATTACTACTGATGATTTAGATTCTTTATTGTTGGTGTCGTCATTAATATTATTATTATCACTGTTATCATTATCATTATTATTGTTATTACTTACTTACTACCACAGTGCCCAAGTTTTACACATATATTAATATGATTAAGGTAGGTTTATGATTAGGCTTAGAGTGAAACTTGCAACGAAAATTTTAAAAAGCATCCACTTGTAATACTGAACGATCTCATTGGTTCGTTCATGGTCATTTGACTGTCGTGTCTACTCTTTTCTGTTGTCAACTGATATATTCTATAAACCGTCTGAATGATGAGTCAGCTGAAATGCTGTAACAAGTATCGACGAGGTGTTCAATTGAATACGCGCTGCTGCTTGAACCGGTGCCTTCTCTTTGCAGCCATGCTGAGTAGTGTTCTCTAACAGGTTTTGAAATGATGCGCGTAGAATGAATTATGTACGCAGCTCCGCAGAAGCGGGTGGACTGATATATGCATACCTATATTCACACCATCAAACTTCCATATCACCCTAAATTTCCTTCGTTATTATTAGTTGGAATTAAATAGTAATAATTGTATCTATGTAAACCTATGAATATAAATGCGTTTCTACAGGTGCTTCTGAGGATGAAATCGGCGAAGAGATATCTATCCTGAGCTTCTTGATCTTCTCTAATGACTATAATTGACGGTAGCTGTGGTAATGTAATCGGATAAGGGTCACAATTGTAGATTAAGAGTACCAAGAAATTTCTTTGGCACATACAAAACGGGGCTTTAGATTTTACGAATGACTATCGCCTCAGCATATTTTAACAGGTGCATATGTCTGTTTTAGCATATGATATTGAAGGTTTTTTTGGTATCAGTCTTATGATTCATAACAATAATATTACTTTGCTGTAGAAAAAGCCAGCTTCCCTCATCTGTGTTTACAGAGTTGATCTATTTTCCAAGCCATGTTCGCCTACCCTGAAGTGCAAAGCGCCATCACCTGTCCCTATGGATGTGTGTTTACAGACACATGTAAGTTGGCTTACAATATGGCACTTGACGTAACTATTCCTGCAATGTTGGGGCTTGTAGTAGACCATGTATTTGGCTTTTTCGGTAATTATCAGCCAGGTTGTATAATATATTTTAGAAATTGACTGACTGGCTTCAACATAGGATTTTTCAGAGATGTGCACCTGTTCCAACTACCATACACTATGTACCACAAAAGTAAGAGAAGAGAGAGATTCAATAGAGAGATAATTAACAGAAGTGTGAGTGAGGAAAGGAGAATAGTAACATAGAAAAACAATAAAGTTTTATTGCTTATGAAAAAGCACAAAGAGTGAATGCATCTGCGCCATTGATAAGGACTTTGAGCCATATCACCAATTGTCTTAAAATTGTACTATTTATTTCCCTCCCCTTGTAAGGTAGTTCAATATAGACATCTGTCTGGACAACTAGTTCATAGACTAATAAATTATGAGCTTTGAACTTACTTAACTGTTCTCTACACCTGTTCAAAAACCTCAAAGGATACCCTTTTTTGACAAGCGCATCAATCAGAAATGCACTGTCAATAACCATCGTATCATCTGCACAATTACCCTGGACCCTCTCAAAAATAAGCACTCTACCAAGACTCTCTTATACTATAATGAGCAGAAATTAGGGAAATGCAAATACTATCCTGTCAAAGTAGGCTTCCTATAAATTGACCATTTAATTGAACCGTCTCCACTTCAACTAAAAAAGTATGTCTAAAATTTAGAGCTGATTGGAGCTATATTCTTCACACGTAGGGCTATTACGATTTTAATGGAAAGGAAACACGTAGTTCAGCAAAGAGGCCCAGGATTACGTAATACAATGAATAATTTATTGAGTGAATTCTGATCAGGAGGCATACAAAAACGAAGGAAAATATGGAATTACGTAAGAAATTGGCGTAAACAGCGAAGAAAATTTTCTTTTCGACGATTCATTTTCATAAACTGCTGTACAATCGTAATTACATTTAACAAAGAAATCTTTAGATCAATCAGATACTGGTACACCTTGTCCTTGAAAAATTGTATTACATAATGTAAGGTGTAAGAAGGGATGACTAATTGTAAGTTAGAAAAGAGGCAGAAGTTGGCATGACGTAATAAGTGTGAGATAATGACTAATCAATAAGCTCGTGTAGAATGGATAGGAACTAGTGTAAAGGCTATAAAATGTCTTTGTATAAAATCTGTTTGAAAAAGCAATGTTATTAATAAACAGTAATAGAGTAATAATAAAATGTGGATAATGGGAATAATAATGATAAAAAAATAATAATAATAGTAAACTTACATAATAAAAATGAAAAACCAACACTTGAATAAAGATGAAAGAAGCAAAATTGTAGTAAGGACTTTACTCTGGCTACGGTAGGGCAAGAGAATGTATGTATCGCTTTTGAGTGCAGAGGTTCAGTTTCACATCTCGAATAGCTGATGCATTAGCTATTTGTCAACAAAGAGAAATAACACAACTTATTGCAGAAATTTTTACTAACGGTTTTGCCAATTTATGTGTACTACAGAACGTGACGAAATTGATCGAATTAGGCTTAAAGGACTGTCACTTTCTTTAATTAGTTTTATGCATTCCAGAAAAGTGTATGAGACATGACAGCAGCCAATATCTTCGACACAATAGACAACAAACTAATATTCCGACGAAATAATCCTTTTAGAGACAGCCACATTTTAAAAAAATCTCATTCCATATAACTGGCACAATTTTAATCTTTTGTGCCCTTCAAAGAAATTTATATGGTCCCCACATTAGGATCTTGTCACTAGGTTTAAAAAGAGGTGAGTGAAAAGTTGTTTGGTTAAGGTGCTTGAGTACTTGGAATTCTTTTCGGAACTGTGCTAAAGTTAAGTTTACCGGAGTTCGCCGAGGATGGAGTACTGAACTTTTACATTAAATAGTACTCATGTGGTGGACAGATAAAATATTCTTCAAAGTGCTCTGAGCAACATTCCAGGTTCCCATGACATCAAACTTCTTACAGCTGGTGGCGTTACTGTAAAGGCAAAATACAACAGTATTTTGCAATAGAATTATTTACTGGCAGTTCGATGTGTAGATATACGCTATTTGCACATATCTCCAGTATTGTACTTCTTTGTCTTCCCTTTATGTGTTACATGATGTTTCACAAGTATCATTCACTTCTTCCTTTTCACCATTAGATCCATATCTCCGCTATTCTTGCAGATGATACACATATTTATGTCTGTATCTATATACTACTTATAAATCTTGTCAGTATCGCACGTTTCAGTGCTGTTTAATTTCTTATTTTTAATCTATCAGATACTTCATATCTCAGGTGACACGACGTATGACTTATTATTATTGTTGCCTTGGGTTCCGAGTGGAACATACGGCTTCAACAGCACATCTCAACTTTGTTATATTCACTACAGTCCTCCATAAGCTTTCATATCCTCCTCGGAACACGATCTCCTGCATATCACAGTCGGAGCTACGCCTAACTTGTCGTTTCTCATTCACCTTCCACTCGAGCGATGGACTGATGTGAGGTGTTATCCAGCAGTCTCCTCAGCGTATGCCGAATCCATCTCGATTTTCTTCGGAATATTTGTTGAGCAATAGGTTCTTGGTTGATGTGTTCCCCGAGTTTCTTGTTGCTAATTTTTCCTGACTAGCCATTTGATCTTAAATACAGAGCGGAGGCAGTTGACGACAATCTGTGAGCTATTGGAAATGCTCTTCGTGACGCGTCAAATTTTTGACACATATTGAAGAAATGACTCCACATTTGTGATGAAAATCCAAAGTTTTTCCATTGTGCTGAGCGCAGTAGATTTCTAAACAGATTTCAGAGTGCTGAAGGTTAACCTTACCTTTCCGATTCTATCTGACTTTGACATCTTCATCCACACTGAAGCTTGTAGTTGACATGATGCTTCCTACATGAGTGAAAGAAGCAACCTCTTTCAAAATACTTCCGTTGATAGTGTTTGCTGCTGGTTGTTCTTCATCACACATCCGTCTTCTCTATTTTCACCTAGTAGTCGGCTAATATTTCTTCATTCTTAATCTCTAAATAATGCATTGATGATGATCACCGCAACAGAAGAGTATGAATCTTGGATCATCCACGTGTAGCCTCTTAATTAATAATTGGCTTTTTAAGTCTAGAGATAATTGTATTATTTATTGCATCGTATGATGTTAGTCTGAATACTGAAAAATTATAATTTTACGCATGGATGTGTTCTTTTATTCTTTCACGTTCTCAGTGAAACATACGGCTGCTTCCAGCTACAGGCTTGAAGCTGTTTTAGCAGTGTTTATTTTTATAGGATGGGGTTGCTAGCCTCATGCCCAACCTTTCCTCTTTACCAGCTTTATTACTGGGTTAGCGAGGTCAAGGAGGAGTGCGTCAGTGGCCGGAGTTCGAACCCCGGACCATGTGCATAGTCGGCGAGCGTCCTAACCGCCGTGCCACCAACGGACACACATGTATGTAAGTACTTAATAATAATCATTAAGGATTGTATCATTAAAATAAACTTATTGGTGTGGTATGAACAAAAAGGCGTATGTAAGTATGTGCAGAGCAGAAACAAAGGTACAGATTGTGGGAATTCACTGGTGACGATACGTTTTACTTACTATCATAGAGGAAGGAACAAGTGTACTACTAGAGAACTGGATTGATATATATATATATATTTGTGTTCTCTGAGCTGGTTGATTTAATTGCGAAATTTGTCCTTCTTGACAACATCTTCAGCGAAAGTTTTATCATGAATTGAACTTATTTGAATACTCCATGAATGATATAATTGTTTCTCTTGACAACCATTGTCGCGATTGGTTGTTAATTTCGTGTCTCTATTGGTCATTTTTATTAACCCGGAATTTGAACTTTCTTCTCAATGAGATGATTTATTCCTTATTAGTTAATAACTTTGATCTATACTAATGTGTTTGTTAATCGCTGATTCTTCTGAGTAGCAGGCTTCTAGGAATTCCCTGACATTGCTTTTAGTGTTTCATCTATTTAAAATTTCTACATTATCCCAATCGAATCGGTGTCCATAATTACCTTCACCCATCGATATGAAAGAATACATATCGTGCCTTTTCAAAGCTAATTTATGTTCTTGGATTTGGATTCGAAGGTGATGCCCACTTTGACCAATGTAATGTTTATCACGGTTCATGCAGTTTATTTTTCAAATGGTGTTAATCCTATCTTCCTTTTTGTTGTTGAATTTCTCGGTCTGCACAATATCGAACGAAGTGATTGTGCTGGCTGCCTTGTGTGCTATATCTATTTCAAACACTCCTAATATTACAGCAGTTATTTCAGAGATATTCTTCATGTATATGAGATAGAATGAATTTTCTTGTGGTCATTGATGATGGTTTCTCCTTAGTATTACGACTTGAGTTTTAAATACTTTTTGATGAAATTGAGTGAGTATTCATTCTTTTTGAAGACAGTTAGTAGGTATTTCTCTTGCTATATATATAACCAGAATCGGAAAAGCAAGTCGAACCTTCATCACTCTGATAAAATGAGTTTGGAAATCTACTTTACTCAGTGAGCGCAAAGAACAAAACTTGGGTTTACAACACCAATCTTATGTCAGTCAGACAGACACTTCTTCCATAAGGGGTCAGAAACTAGGCGTCTGCATCACCAGACGCATTTCTAACAACCTTATCAATCAACAGTTGCCTTCACTCGATACTGAAAATCAAATGGCCAAAAAGATTAAGCAACAAGAAACTCTGGGAAGGAATCATTTCAGAGTTTATTACTCAACGAATATGTCGAAAGAAGTAGAAATGAATCAGATAAACACGTTTAGAAGACCATCGAATGACATCGCACGCCAAGCTATCGATCAAGTAGAGGTTGAATGGGAAACCTCAACTTGAGCGTGTGTCTGAGAGTAACATAGAAGAGAAAGGGAAAGCCTATGGTCAATTTTTTGGAAGAAGGATAAAGGCGACACTCCTCAGAAAGCAGAGTGAAATGGAGAGACATTCTGTTGACTCGCTATGTTCCACTCAGAACCCATAGGGATAACAACACCAACAGTAATAATAATAATAATGCAATATTCAATACAAACAGAAAAGTTTTCAAGTATTGGTTTTGTAGAGAATTTTTTGTTTGATTGCATGGAGTATTTCATCATGAGCTGACATCAGTTAGAGAACCAATGGAAAACCAGCTGGGAGTACTGGACAGCTGTCTTGTCAGCCTAGTTTGGGAATCTTCAGCAGTAGGGTACAGCAGGTTGGAGATGAGGCAGTAACTCATCGAAGAAAATATTGCGATATGGTTGCGCTATGTCGTGAATTGGCAGAAGTTAGAATTCATGGGTTGGCCATTGGATCAGGTCCCAGTGAGTGGCTCAATGGTCTACGAGCTAGCTCGCCTTGTAACCAGAAGGTCTTGGGTTCGAACCCCGGTGGGTGTGTACTGCAGAAAAGTGAAATAATTAATTTGCGAAGGAATCTTAACTTTTATTTAATTCATAGAAAAAACAAAGCAAAACTGGGAAAAATAAAATAAATTCGTTGGCAATAATGTCTAGCATGAAAGACAGTTTCATAAATAATTACGACAATAATAATAATAATAAAAACGTTAATTACATAATGAAATCAAATAGGCAAATAAAAATAACAATTACAAATGATTCATTATTATTTATTAATTACTTATATCGTTTAATTAATCTCAAATGGAAGTAAGCTACGCATAAGGCTAAAATTGCAATCACAAATATGCCCAATTCATTTAACCATACAGCCCAATTCGATTGATAATCAACTGCTTGTGATTCTAAGTACTGTACACCAGTGATGCTAAGAAAATGGGGAAGCAAAGAAATAAAAACAGTATTACGGTAGAAGACAAGACATTTTGGAAACGGAACTGTTCATTGGCAACTCTATATAGGAAATATAGGCAAAATATGTCTGCCATATTATATTTAGAATCGGAATTTGTACACATCTGTGATTGGTAACCAGATTGATAACGGGCTGAAATCAGTTAGAGAACTATTGGAAAACCTGGGAGTAGTGGACAGTTGTTTCATCCAAGTCTGGGACCCTTCATCAGTATGTACTCACCAGAGTTCGAACCCAGCAACTGATGGTTAATCTGATGCTCACTAGCGAATAGTCCTATACAGGGAGTTATCTGGGGTTCCAGTGAGAAGTCTTAACCAGCGGGGTCCAACAAGTCAGGTAAGAGGACAGTTAATAGCCAGTGACACTAGCTGGCGGTTGCGCAATATATATATCAGCAATTGGAATTTATGGACCATTAGAGTCGGGTCCCAATGGCTGAATGGTCTACAAGCTCTCCTTGTAACCGTAACGTCCTGGGTTTGAACGCTGGCGGCTCAATACATCTCCACTTTCTCCTACATATTTGTTGAGCGATCGGATCTTGGTTGGTTTGTTCCCATAGTTTCTTGTTGCTTATTTTTTCTGGCCGACCGGCTGGTCATTTGATCTTCAGTATGGAGTGAAGGCAGCTGTTGATGCAAGTCTGCAACAAGCTGTTGGAAATCCTTTTCGTGACACGCACTGTGAGTTTCTGACCCGTATAGAAAAACTTACTTCACAATGGTGTTGAAAATGCTAATCTTGTTCCTTACGTTGAGCGCGGAAGATTTTCAAACTGGTTTCAGGTTGCTGAAGGTGTATCTTGCCTTTCAGGTTCTGGCTAACTTTGATATCTTCGTCCGTTCTGCCTGTAGTTGAAACGATGCTTCCTAGATAAGTGAAGGAAGTAGCCTCTGTTAAATCTCTCCCGTTGATGATGAGTGGTACTGGTTGTTGTTGTTGCTTTTAGTTGGTTGGTTATCTTCGTCACCCCCGTTTTCTCTATGTTCACCTGCAGTCCTGTCTTTGCTGCCTCTTCAACCAGTTTGTTGATTTTCGCCAGCAAGTCTTCGAATTTGTTTGATATTAGACATATATCATTCACGTGCGAAATCCATTTTTTCTAGAGTCTTCTTATCAGCCGTCCAACGTGTTCCTGACTCCTCGTTCCCAACAGTCTGACGCAAAATCAAATCCACCACAATTAAGAATATCATCGGTGACAATATATACATGTATATATATGAATACAAATCATTATTAAGTGCTACAATTTCTACGATAGAATTAAACCAAGAAACGAAAATTGACTTAACTTCCAGTCAAAGGTAAGAAGGGCAACTAAAACTAGTGTAGGCTAAAACGGTTTAAATCAGGAATTGGTAGAAGTTAGCATTCATGAATTTTTGGATCAGGTCTCAGTAGCTGAATGCTTCACGGCCTTCCCTTCCAGGTTTGAACCCTGATGATGGGTACGTACTGATGGCGAGTTCGAAACCAGGACGAAACAACTTTTCAATATTTCATGCTGGTTTTCAATGGTTCTCTAACTGTGATATCAATCCTTAGTCGAACTTAAAACAAATTAAATCCCAACGAACTAACTCTTGAAAATTAATCGTATGCTCGCTGGTGACTGGACACAGGACGAAATTGACTAGAGTTCTAGCACGAATTCGTAACCGATGGGGTCCACCAGGGCAGTTGTGAAGACAAATACTCACTGGAATCGATATCAACCAAAGAGCTATTGTAGACTGATGAAAACTAGGTAGTTGTTTCGTCTAGATTTGGTATTACTGAGTAACACCACAAAAGCACGATTATCAGGGGACGGCTCTTCAATAATAACTTCTTATTTTAGGAATATCTTTGTAGTCTGTAACAGTATTCTGAACAAAATAATCGAACAATATATTTGATGACAGTTCCAAAAAAGTCACCTGATGCTTAAATAAGTCAAGACGAAAATGATCAATAAAAATTTGGAATGCATAAAACTATATACTATTGATGGAGATTGAGATGACAAGGTGTTTATCACTCACATCAACTGGTAGTGCTGGGTGGCTGGCTGACCACCACCCAGATCGAAAGGATCTTAACAATATACGATGACTGTTTCAATCGTTTGCAGTCGAGCTCATACAAGCAGTGTACCTGAATTGAAATCATCCGATTTCTGGATGTGAACTGGTAGTACACTGAATCAAATTCGTAATTTGCAAATTAATTGACGATTTGCAATTTGTAAACAGATGGAGGTTATACTTCACCATAGTGTTCTTTGAAAACTGTGATCATTCAGATTACAATGTGTGTTATTGTCTACTTTAGTCCCTGGAGGAACGTAAGGCTTCAGCCGCACGTCTCCATTGCGTTTGGTTCTCCGCCAACGTTTTCACCCGACTCCACGTCTGTGCACATGCCTTCATCTCCTCTTCCAGTGATTTCCTCCATGTCACCCTCGGACGACCAACTCGCAACTCCTATTCAGGTTCCACTCCTGAATCCAGCCAGTTCCGGTCGAAGCTTTTCATCCAGGGCTTGTTTGACTCTCTGCAGGATAATGCGGATGGACAGGAGCATAATGACGCACCAATTTTGCATTGACTTAAGTCTCCTTTCTTTGGCAGTTTGAATAGGTAGCCTTTCTTCCAATCCACAGGTACCTTGCCCTCTTTCTACACCTTCGCCAAGTAGTGGTGTCCGCTGATGTCTCTAAGTCCATTCTTAATGCTTCTGCGGGGATTTCGTCTGGTCGTCCTACTGCTTTTCCAGTTTTTACCATCTTTATGGCCTTCGGGATATCTGCTTTCGTCGGAGGGTTCGTATCCCCACTGGTAGATCACAATGTGTGATGATCACCTCGAACAGTGTAAACTGAGAATTTGATCCAGTGGATTACCAACTCGCACGAGTAACTAGTCAGAAATCGAGTGGTTTCAGTTGATTCGAATTTTTGAGTTCAGTTAAACAGGGTTCATGTAATATTTATGATCATCACATTTTAGTATTTATTTCCATTCACTGTTGAACTTTAAGAAACACACACAAAGGAAAACTGACTATTAGAATTGAATTGGTGGATGGTGACTAGCAGTGGAATCAACTAGGATGTGCATTTCGTCCTATTTGGGACTCGCCATCTGGATGTACCCGCATTCCCCAATAGGTGATGATGTTTCAACCAAGGCTCGAACCCAGTGCCCATAGTTTCAAACACCAAAGCGTTATCCACTAGACCACTTGGGCCACGAGAGCCACCTCTTGTGCAACGGGTCATATTAGTTATTTAATTGAATTTGTGATTTTCCCGTCGATTGACTGGACTGAAGTGCTCGGTCTGACATATAAATACGGTCATACAGCTATGAAATTGTCGAAAAGAGGAGTTTCTTCCTTAACAATGCTAAAAATAAAGTTAAATGCTAAAGTTATATTTGCAAAAGATAAACAAATGTACATACTTACCATATAGATTCTAAGTCTTGAATATTAACACTGACAGCACTTTGAAAGTGTTCAGCATCCGTCTTCTTCCATTCTGTCAGTAGTGTTGATGTGAGATTTGCATAAACAGGATCACTTATATTTATACTGTTCAAATCGACTGATGACAACAGTTTAGACGAAGACGGCAAATAACGAGGACAAAATTTCATGTCGAATAATTCATTTATGGCAAGTATATTAATTGCATATCGTAATATTGAAATATAACGTACTAATTGAAGCCATCTCCATAGTGTGGGGATATTTACTAAGTAACCACTTGTTATCTATATCAACAACAAAAAATATCAAAGTACTGGTCAAGAAAGGAAAAACTAACTAATTGCGGCCTTGGAGGACAAAAGATAAACAACACCTGTGGCGTGATTTTGGAAGCTGCCAAAAAATTCAAATCAACATTTTAAGTCAGTGAGTCGATGCTGAAGAGGAAGAAGTATTTATTACTCAAATCTGGATTTAGTTTACGATGCGGACATGAAATGGTCCCATTGAAGAAACTTGTTTAACCATGGAGCCAAAGTGACAACCAATTAGAACAATTTATTCTCCACCGATTTAGCCGAAGCTTTATGATTTTTCCCTCGCTAAATTAGAGAATGGACCACTGAGAGGAGTAATTAATGACTTGGATTTCTACTGTCAATATATGGATGATACATTTGTGGTTATGAAAGACGAGAATGATGCAATGAACATCCTTCACAAGTTTAATGATGCACATTCAGCAATAAATTCAACCATAGAGAAAGAAAGTAATGACAGTATCTCATTCCTGGAGGTCTTCATGGCAAGGAAAGAAGATGGCACACTAAGAAGGAGTGTGTATAGGAAATCTACAACAACAGATCAGTACACTCATTTTTTGAGTTTTGAACCTTTGGAATATAAACGTAACGTGGTGAAGTGTCTGGTCATAGAACTAGGTTAATGTTTTCAGACGACTGCCTCAATGAGAAGCTTAAGATTATTAGAGAATTACTTAGAAAAAATGGTTATCCAGATAAATTTATTGAGAAAAATATGAATTCAGCACCAAGGAGAGTCAGTATGGCAATAGTTCCGAAAAAATCAACGTTCATAAAACTGCAGTTCTTCGTTGACAACATCAGCGAAATAAAAACACAGAGCCTGAAGAATGCAGTTAAAAGAGCTTATTATGCAGCAGAGGTACGTTGTCTCTTCATAACCACCCCTATTCTACATTGGAGAAATAAGGATAAACTACCTAAATTTGCCTCTTCTATGTGTATCTACCAGTTTGACTACAGCTGTGGAGTCAGCTACATTGGGAGTACAATTAGGCAGGTTCATCATCGTACTTCCGAACATCATCCAACATGGTTAAGCAAGTGACAAACAAGATTTATTCGTAGCAGCTAGATTGTAGTACACCTTGTAGATAGTGAGTAAAAGATTGACGTTAATACTGCATTTAAGATTATTTATCGCATTCCTACTAATCTTAACTTTGCTCTACGAGTTCGTCTTCTACAGACAGCTGAAGCAAACGGAATCCACCTGAAGAAGCCAAACCTGTGTGTTCAGAAGAAATTTGTACAGCCACTTTCCTTACCGTGGCCATCGCTACAAGAATGTATAAACAGGAATACGTCGCCCCCTCCCCCTAAACCTACAAAAATTATAATTGTCCAAATTATTTTATTTTATTTTTATTTATTTTGACCACTTCATCTTTAATTACATGTTATCCTTGTAAAATTAATTTATTCTATCCATTTCTACCTTTTAAGTGTGCATTGATTTTCTTCGTTTATTATCAACCCACTGACATTTTGACACTGTTTAATTATTGTTAACAAACATATCAGTGCCACTTGATTGGTAAACTGTTGTGTATTGTAATAAAAATGGTATGTGTATATATTAGAGTAGAGCCAGAGATGAGGATCTAATTGAAAAGTAAATATTTCTTCACTCAATCTTTCTGTTTTCTAAATTCAAGAAGATCACTAAGATGTAATTGAAAGCCTTTTCAATTCAAGAGGAACACCGGCTTAGAGAACACTGATACTAGAATAGATCTCTACTGAGTTATAGATATTGCCAACCATGTAGATAGTATTCAGTGCTTTGAAACACAATAATGAAGACAAATTCATCCTACTTGCAAGTAAAAACTTATTAGTATATACAAAGTAGGGGTTAAACTTCGTGTGAGTTAGCATCAAACACCACGTAATTATTAAAAATTTGCTTCCCGTTCCCAGTGGAGCATATGGCTTCAAGCCACAGCCTCGAAGTTTCGGTAGCAGCGGTATTTATTTTCGCTGGATGGGGTTGCTAGCCTCATATCCAGCCTGCCCCCTTTACTAACCTTATTACTGGCTCTGCGGGGTAAAGGAGTGTGTCGGCATGGGATAGAACGCCAGACCACCTGCGTGGTTAGCGATCATTCTACCGCTGTGCCACCGACGCACAACCATGTAATTAGGAACAGTAAATAGTACTGCTCAAGAAAGAAATTTAGAACATCAAAAAGGGTTTTGAAACATCCATATGCAGAAGGATTAAACACACATACACATTGAGAAGACCGTCAAGTGACGTGACGAAGGGGGGGTGGGGAAGATGAATGAGTTGAGCACCCAAGGAAAGTTTTTGTTTATTTTATATTTTATTACAGCTTGGTTCCACAGAGTATTTTGGTACAACTATGGAATTTTCAGCATGTGACATCGGTAGCCCAAATTTAGTAGGTCGACCATTGACATTAGGTGTGCGTCGGTGGGGGATCGATCTCCGGACCATGTGCATGGTCGGCGAGCGTCCTAACCACTGTGCCTTCAGACGCTTTTGAGTAGTGGTGCACATCCAGCTGTGCAAAGCTTCCATCACTTATACAAAAACCTCTTATTAGCTTATTTTTCTCAAACATTAAAATCATTCAAATGAACTGTCGTCAAGATTTGACAGAATAGTTCTAAAATATTTGGGCGCCGAGTGAGAAGTAGACATTTGTAAAAAATTATATTTGTAAAATCTCAGCGATATTGAAATAAGTAATTCCAACGTTTCCTGTGTTCGGCAATCTGGTCCGAACTTCTTCAGGGAAATTAATCGAAATTAACATAACATAGGTTTATATATAAAAAGGAACATCACTTGTTTTTAAAAACTTGTCCAATCATGAGTCATTCAAAGAAGTATCAACAAGTATAATAAACAAAATTTTATGAGCTGTGATCAAAATTTGACCTCGGACTTACAAATATTGGTCTACCTTTGTTAAATACTTTAAACAGAGTGTCTATGTGTGTGTGTGTGTAAACAGTCGTAAAACATTTCTTAACGTCTCCATAAGAAGATATGGACAGTCGAGAATTTTGACCAAGTATTAATAATTAGTGATACATATCCATTTTTATTTATTAATCAGGATTTCCTATGCATCAGCTAACATCACGCCTTCATGTCTGTTCAAACTGTTAGTATCTAGAATTTTATAATCAGACGTATTTTCAAAATTATGATGTTTAGGATTAGAGTTTAGTAGAAGCACCCTGTCGAACTTATTGCATTGTCTTCTTTCTGAAGATTGAGCTGCTTTATTCGACCTACTGGAGTTGTCAGGTGACTCGATATCTACGGATTTAGGATATGCATTCTGTTGCAGACAACGGAGAGTGAATACACGATGATTGTACCAGTTACACAGTTTCTTTGTTAATTTAATTCGATTGCAAAATAATTCAAATGAACTGTTGTCAAAATGATGAAATTCGCGAAAAATACCCATTAAGACATTGAAATAAGAACAAAGTAGTTCAGCGAAGAGTCTCTTTTCGGCGAATTCATTCACTTAGCTGTACAGTCGCAAATATATATACAATTATTTTGTGTGTGTGTGTATATATTAGGTTTGTCAAAATCAAAATAACAGTTAGTGTGGGTTGTTGATTATATCATCAAAATAATGAAGAAGTTAAAATGTGTGATTAGTAATTAAAGTTGTAACTAAGTGGGGTGAAGATTGGTAAGATGTGAGTAGGGTTACGTAATATGGACATGTTTAGAAAGATTAGATGCTAGTGAAGGAGTTTGGAGACAATTATGAAAATAAAATAAACTAGATAGTTATGAAAATAAAATAAACTAGATAATAGGTGAAAAGATTGAATGGGTTAGTTACTAAAAATTGTTATGCGAAAAATTGCAAAAATTTGATAACAAAATGTTGATGACAGATAAACTTGAAATTAAACCCACGGTAGTAGGAGGGGGTGAAGAAGTTTCTTCTATGTGCATAACTCAGGCTTTTCCATCCAAATCGCTAAGGCTTCAGCAATACAAAGTATACGGAAGCTTGTCGATTTTGGAAGGCTTCTTTTGACTTTATAGATGACTTTGAACGACTTCACTTTGCAAATCGAATGACCAGTGTTGAGTATATGCTCAATAATGGCGCTCCTTATTGCTCCGTTGCTACCTTTCCGTAGCCAGGCGGGATAGTGTTCTTGAACTCTTTTAGATAAAACACGCATCGAACGACCTATATACCTCGCTCCACAAGAGCAGGTGAATTGGTAGATACACATGGAAGTGGTCAAATGCGATAGTTTATCTTTAGAGTAGTTGAAGAACAATGGCCGGGAGGAAAATGTTAGTCGTAGTGTGGCAGCGAAGAATGTCCTTCTGAGAGCAGTAGATATCCTCTTCTTCAAGGTGTCAGCCAGAAGGTCACCTTTGAAGGGTACATTCATGTAGACCATCTTCTTCTGCACTGTAATGGGTTGTTCTTTGTACGTCTTAGGCTTAATGTGCTTGTCTATAAAACGGGGTGGGTAGGCATTCTCGAGCAGTGTCTTCCTTAAGAGGGCGATCTCTTCCTCTATTGATTCAGGACTACAGATTTTTCGGATTCTAGTCGCCAGAGATATTATCAAATTTCGCTTGCGACTTATTGGTACCCAACTGTAGAAAAAAGCCAATACACACACACACACAAACAGACAGACACAGCAGCAAATAAACAACTAGCCACTTACCATCATTAAAACAAAAAACATCGATAACAGCATTGATCCAATTCGATGATCTTTAACCATTGCACTGACAGCAAATGTGATTGCTGAAGCAGAAAAAGTTAACAAGGTGATTGTTAACTCCCAGAATAGAAATGGACGTAGTTCATAGCGTAGACCAGATAAAAAGTAGGTTATAGATAAGCATAGTAAGGCGGGTATCGCTTTACTCGGCAGTACATCTGATATAATCTTTGATAGAAAATATGTTGAGATTCTATAAAATCCAGCGGATGTTTCATGCCTAGTAGTTAAAACAATACAGAAGGGTAATAATTGGAATTATTTAGGTGTATAAAGTCAATAGAAAAGACATTAAGTGATGACATATATATATATATCGAAAGCTCGTCATCAGAAATGTGTTCTCCTTAGACACTGCTTTTTTTAGACTACGGTCGACTATTTTGAATGCCATTATCCACTTGGTGGCATTTTATGATCAGTTATAATGAAATAATTCACAAGAAACCTAGAAAGTGTTCACAAGATACACGAGTTATTCACTTGAAAAAAAATTATTATTAATATTCTCTTGGTTACCGAATGGAACATACGGCTTCAACAGGACATTTCCATTTTCTTCAGCTTGTCCCATGATCACTCATAGGCTCTCGATTCCTCCTAACATGATCTCCTACAAGTCAGCCACTGACACATGTCCAACTCGTCACTTCCCAACTTAAAGTTCCACTCGAGCGATGGCCTGGCGTATGATGTCACCCGGTGGTCTCCCCACCGTGCATCTGATCCATCTCCATTTTCTCCGGAATATTTATTGAGCAATATGTTCTTGATTGATTCACTCATAGAATTCCTTGTTCCTAAGTCTTTCTAGCAGGCAATTCGATGTTCAGTATGGAGCCAGTGAAGTGGGCAGCTGTTGATAAAATTCTGCAGTAGCCTGTTGGAAAGGCTTTCCGTGATGCGTCAAGTCTTTGAACCGTATACAAGAACTAACTCGACATTTGTGTTGAGAATCCGAATTTCGTTGTTTATACTGACTAATTGCAGAAGATTTCCAATGACCAACATTAATTGTCGTTATAAGGAGTTGGTTTGTAAGGATTTCATTTTACTCAAGGTTGACCACGGATGGATGCCAGTTAGGGTACCATTGGAAACCAACAGGCAGTACTAGACTGCTGTTTCGTCCTAGTTCAGAACTTTTCATCGGTACGCAACCACGACCACACCGGTGGTGATCGGACTTTCAGGTGAAGAGGACACGCTCATTGACCATTCAACCACTTGGTCTGGAGTCCAATGACGTCTGACTTCTAACTTCTGTCAATTAGTGATTTCAGCACGGGGAAAAATAGTCGTCAATGACACTGACGTTCAAACGCGAATTAAGCAAAGGTTAAAAATTCAGGGTTCATTGAGTTCTGGCCCAAGTGACTCAACGGTAAACGAATTTGGTTTCGTAACCTGAAGGTTATGAGTTCGATCCCCGGTGGGGTCGTGGATTAATTGTAGTGATGAGTAACACAATAAAACTGTAAAGGTTTCTGTATTTAGTGGTCGATAAATGACATTTTCCAATGTAAAGCAGGTAAAGTAAGGTTTGAACAAGGGATAAAATTTAAAAGTTCTATACGAAAGTCAGTGCACTGATAAGAAGTTTGAACCACGGGTGGAACAGTTGTACAAACATATTAGGTTTTCATTAGCGCATTGTATGATGTTGCTCTGAAGTGAAATCAATGCATTATATGACTAACACTCTAGCGTTAGATTTCTGCAACATTTGGACTCAGCGTCATTTTTGTCTGGGAAAAGGTTTTACAGTGATTTATAAGAAAAGCACAGAAGGAAACATCTTTTCTGACTCTACAATTACATATTGTTTACAACTAGTTGATCAACGTTACACTGATAATGTTTGGGGTGGTCAAACCAAAACTAAGAATTAATCCATGAGGTCATTGAAAGTTGGTGTGAATCAAGTAGGGGCAGGGGAGTGTTTTACCTGGTTGGAGTCCTCAGGAAGTTAAGAACCAGATGTTGCCACGTGGAATGTGGCAAGAGTTGAACCGCTGCAGTTTTGTCCGAATTTCAATGTTGAATCTGAACCAGACAGATATTGATAAATAACAGTTAGGATTTTCAGAGAAAAGCACCTACAATCTCTCTCTTTCCCTCGTCTTATAGTTTATGCTTTCAAACAACGGAAACTGTCTGTTTTATATGTAAGTATAATGATGATAACCAGTTCAACATTGAAATACCAACAAAATGTTTGAAGAGACTAATGCTGAAGTGTACACTTGGTGTACAATTCCCTTTCAGTGACACCATCTACAGATAAAAGAATGGTATTGCAATGGGATATCCCCTTCGGTTCATTTCTAGCAAACTGTTTTATGACCAGCCTTGAGAAGTCGACGATTGAGAATTTACAGCGATATAAAAGGTAAGTAGACGACATTTTCATCGTTTGCGACAATAGTTACAGCCCTAATAAGTATTTAACAACTGATATCCGGTAATAAAGTTCACTCTAGAAATGGAAAACGAATCTAAAATTCCTTTTCTTGATATGGAACTAACAAGACGACCATACGGAATCTTAAGTGGCTTGGTTCATAGAAAACTCATTTAGAACAAGAAACTAACCAGTTTCTACAGTTGGGTGCCAGTTGACTGAAAACGAAATCTAATTAAATCCCTTACCGCTCGGATCCGACACATCTGCACTCCTGACGCCATGAAACCAGAACAAGATCTTCTGAAAGAAACATTCATCCAAAATGGATACCCACCAAGATTCATCGACAACAATATCAAACCAAAAGTTCAGAGGAGCACAACATTACTTCTTCCACAAAACAAACTTTACGGGCTTTAGGCCAGGTAGAGGGTGCATAGATCATATCTTCACTCTCCGACAGATCCTAGAACATAGGCACACTTTTAGGCGTCCAACAATTGCCATATTTCTTGACTTGAAGGCGGCCTTCGACTCCGTGGATCGAGAGGTACTATGGCAATGTATGATTGTAAAAGGAGTGCCAAGAAAGTACATTGCCCTAATCAGGGCACTCTACTCAAACTCACGTAGCCGTGTAAGGGCTTATGGGGAACTGTCATCTGAATTGATAACAACCAGTGGTGTCCGTCAAGGATGTCCACTTTCCCCTTTTCTGTTTAACTTCATCATAGATATGCTAATGGAAGTATCCTTAACCGAACGTAACGACTTAGGAATCGACTTGTTACCAGGGAATAGTCTTATGGACTCAGAATATGCAGATGATATAGTCCTGTTAGGGGAGGATGCTGACAAAATGCAGAGTCTTCTGAACACCTTGAGCAGCAATCTTCGTATGTTTGGCATGCGATTCGCCCCTGTAAAATGTAAGATGCTGCTACAGGACTGGGCTACGTTTACCCCTAGCTTAGTGATAGGGAGTGAAGTGATAGAATGTGTTGACCACTTCACCTATTTGGGAAGTTGTATCAGCACCAACGGATTGATTGGTGGCGAAATCTCAGCACGGATCAAAAAAGCTCGGGCTGCTTTCACTAACTTACACCATCTCTGGCGTAGGCGTGACATCCGGCTGTCAACCAAGGGACGTGTATACTGCTCAGCAGTTCGCTCCATCCTTCTCTATGGCTCTGAAACATGGCCAATACGAGTTGAAGACATGAAAAGGTTGACTGTTTTTGATCATAGATGTCTACGATTTCTTTCTCACGTTAGGTGGCATAATAAGGTAAGTAATGTTAACGTCAAGCGTAGTGTTGGGCAAAGAGGGAAAATCAATCGAAGTGGCTAGGTCACATGCTGCGCATGCCTAACCATCGCCTCCCCCGACGGTCATTACTAGCTGATATAGCTGCAGGTGGGAAAAGAGTAAGTGGTGGCCAAAGAAAAACATGGCCTCATCAATCCATGAAATCCTTGACAGTTAAACTGAGTCAGGTAGGGAGATGCAGACTTCCGGGTTGGGGCCCTCGGGACTCTAAGAATCAATGGCTGGAGACAATAGGAGACATGGCTCAAAATCGTTGTCAATGGCGCAGATGTATTCAGTCTCTGTAATCTTTCATATTCCTTTCTACCATTACTCATTCTGTTTCACTCTTATACTTGTCAAAACTCTATTGATTCTCTTTACTCATTTTCCTGTCTACCTTTGTGTGCTATTTGGAACGTGGCAACTCGAACTGGTGCACTTCGGTGCCAATTTCTATGTTGAATCCAGCCAGCCAGCACGTGAACCTGTATTTCAAGGGAGACTTAACCGGTCATATCCTCTTAAGAGAAGAATTTCGTCGCCTTTGAGAAGAACATTCTTCACACTAACGTAACGCTAAGAGTAGTGTTCTCCAGGCGTCCATTGATCAGCAGAAGCTTTAAGGACAAGGTTTCGCATTTAACCACCTATATGTCAGTTCACCCGTTTTTTTTATTCAGATACATCGAACGTTTAATGCGCATCTTGTTTCAAAGTTGTTCAAGAAAACTATCCCGCACGATTGCGCCAAGGTAGTAATGAGTTTATAAGGAGTTCTATAGTCGAACACCTTGTCAACACTGGTCACTCCATCTAAATAAGTGTCTCCCTCAAGGTAATCTACAAATTGAAGAATACCCTACCAAAGCTTTTCAAACAGACAGACCGGAGCTATGAATACAGAAGAAAATTATTCCAGCAATTCTACTGTCATGGCAACAACCTTGTTGATTTTTACTCAATTGATGTGTGTGCTGGTTTTTTAAACTTCTTTTAACTCTTGTATTCTTCTAGAACTCTTACGTAATTCCATGTTTTCCTTCAATTCTTTATGCACCCTGATCACAACTCATTTATTAAATTATTCATCTTATCACGTAACTCTAGTACACATATTCAACTCCTATTATGCATTGCGTAACATTAACATTTTTATTGCTACCCTCCTTTATGAAAAAATTCTGTATTAGTGCGATTATACAGCCAAAGAGGGGAACGAATTCGCCAAAAATAGACTCTTTGCTGAACTAAGTGTTTTGTTTTCATTAATATCTGGATGGGGATTATTCATGAATACAGATTATTAACGTGAAAGTAATATGATTCAAGTTTGAAAGATTATACAAGTTCAAACAGGTGGATGGAACTACACAGGATATTAGTTGAGGGGACTGAGAAGCGAAAACTTATCGCTCAACAAATATGCAGGAGAAAATGGGGATGGGTTGGGCACATGCTGAAGACACAATCGAATTAAATCGCGTGCCAGATACACTCTCGAGTAGAACCCGAGCGGATCATCGGTGCGAGGGTGACATGGAGGAGATCGTACGAGTAGCAGCAGATGAAGACTTATGGGTAATTTTGAACCCAGCTGAAGAGGACAGCACCAACCAGAACAAGGTGGAGATGTGTTGTTGAAGCCCAATACTCCACTCGGAACCCAAAGGAAAATTGATGATAACAACAGTTGGGTAAATAGAAATTGGATGGAAATTATTACTTACATGAAAATAATACGATCTTTTAAAAATATTTCCAGCAAAGCACCGCTGATAAATAATAAGTGAACACAAGTGAAAAAGAATAAACCCATACGATTTTGAATACCAGATTCGCGCCATTTGTCCATATTTAAATATATAATGCCTAAGAATAAGGCTATGACAAGTTGTATAATAAAATGCGATAATATTGTTCTCCATGATCTGTAAAGTAGAAAATTGTAGAAGTGAATAAGACGACGAGGAGGAGCAGTGACACTTTGGATGCCATAAAAAAAATAACTACAAACGATAAATAAGGTATTCGAATCAGCCGCGAAATTCCCTCCATAATTCAAGTTGTCCAATATCATGAAAAAGCAATAAGTCAGCCATTTGGTTAGCCATTTAGAATGTACACAGTTCGAGTTGTCAAATTTCAACATAGTTTCCTATGGAAACCAAGCTATTCCGATCAGAATATGTGATGCATATTTTTATGCATAAAATTACATACTACTGATTCACCGTAATGAGTAGTTGTATACTACTCATACCATTCAGTAGTGTTCGCTTGCTAGCCAGCCAGACCGAGGTGATCTAAACACACCACGGGACGGCTGTTCCGCTCATTTGTATGCATATATACTTGGTTTCTTGATAACCATTTATGGTATTACAATCAGAGCACAAATTACGGTGATCTGAATAATTTGATTTCCCAAGGACACCGGGGTAAAATTTCACACCTCCAACTGTGTACACATAGCAAACGGCTAACTAATCTGCGAATTGTGAATATGATTCATGGTATGGCCAGTTCGACCAAGTAGTTAGCCAGAAATCGGTTGGTTTCAATCGATTTAGTTCACTCAGCTCAGTCAAACCAGGTAGACTGCTGATTAGGTAGGCCAAACTCAAACAAGCGAAACAGCCGTCCCGTGTTGTTTAGATCACCTCGATCAGGCTGGCTAGCAAGCACTACTGAATGATATGCGTGATACACAACTACTACTTATTTCAATCAATCAGTAGTATATAGTTTTATGCATAAAAAGCAACAAGGTTTTAAAAAGGATAACTAGAGTAGTGGTTAACATGCGAAATAACAGTCTTCAAGGTTTTATGTGAGGTGAAAAGTGAAAACTCAGGGGGACCACTGAATACCAGCTCACTCAGCTGAGTGGTCAATGAGCCTGCCTTGTTACCTAAAGGAATCGTATGTGCAAACTGCAGCAGAGCCTCAAGCTGTCCCAATGCTCTCCGGTCCTCAATGTTGTTGGTTTGTCACCAAATCCACATTCAATGGAAATCAATCCCAATCCCTACAGAGGACCCATATTCTGAAGAAAAAAACGAAATTGAAGTATTATAGTCTTTGTTATAACAACATAATACCAATTATGGTTGGAAATCGTTTCTTTAGGCACCCCTTTTGAACTAATGTAGAGCACTTCAACAGAACATACATAAGGTTAAATAGAAATCTCATTCTACAGTAAAGAAAGAGTTAAAGAAATCTTGATACAAGCGTGAAAGGGGCACTGGTAAACATAGCACTAGGCATATAAAATAAATTCAGTAGAAAATGGAAAGATGGAGGCTCGATGGGTAAAAATAAATGAAAGACGCCTTTGAGTATATAAAGCAGTCAAAAAAATAGAAAATAGGTTTCTTTAGAACGTAACTAGGATGGATAAGAAGAAAAATACTAGGACATATGCGATTTAACAGATGATTACAGGATAGAACACGAGTTGACATCAGTTAGAGAACGGATGGAAAACCTGGGAGGACTGGACAGTTGTTTCGTCCCACTCTGGGACTCTCATCGCAGTAGGCACCCACCGATAGGGTTTAAACCCAGGACATTCCAGTTACGAGGTGAGTTCGTAGACCACTCAGCCACTGAGGTTCTAGTCGTACCAGCAAGTCCACCAAGTCAGGCGAGAGGACAGTTGCTCGCCCGTGACACTAGCTGGAGGCTTCGCTAAACATATATCAAGAATTGGTATAAGTTGGAATTCATGGACTGTTGGGTCGGGTCCCAGTGGCGGAATGGTCTACTAGCTCGCCTCGTAATCATAAGGTCCTGGGTTTAAACCTTATCGGTGGATGCGAATTGCCAATGAGTCCCAAGCTAGGACGAAACAGCTTTCCAGTCTTCCATGCTGGTTTTCAACGATTCTCTAACTGGCATCAATCCGTTATCAAACTTGACACAAATTAGCTCTTGAAAATAAGCATTCAAAGTTTAGAATGAAACCAATGAAATACATTTTAGTAAATAAGCTAAATGTAGGCGTTCTAAAGTGGTTTCTATGATTTTTCTCTTGACCATTCTATTTATTATTTTATTTCTTTGAGTTCCTAGAGGAACATAGAGCTTCAAAGTTTAAGTAGCAGTCGTGTATTTTTTTACAAGGTGGGGCTGCTAACTTCACCTCCAATCTTGCCTCTGAGTCGGCTAGAGGAGGTAGAGATATGCGCCGACCGGGAATCGAACCCTGGGCCACATACATGGTTGGTGAGCATTCTAGCGTTGAACCACCGACGCACTTCGTAACCATTCAGCGTAAATCTTTTCGTTCTTCATAAAGCTTTTTTTATATTTGTATATAATGTGTTATATTATATGGGACGTATTCATTTGTATAGAGTCTTGATGAAGAGTAAATTATTGGAAAAACAAACAATCAGACAAACATTATTTTGTCAATCAAAATGTGCATTTAGATTTTTGTTTTAATTCAGGGATATGTATCAAGGACTATTCCAGTGTTTAAAAATATCACTTAAGTACACTTGAGTAAAGAGAGTAAGAGGACGAAACGATTGGGGGTAAAAAGCGTGTATGCAAAATAAAGACATGTGAAAAAAAGGACTACATAGTTTAATAAGCATGAAGGATAAAGTGATTCTCATTCCCATTATTATTATTATCTGTTCCTTTAATTCCTACAGGAACATAGGGCTTCAGCCGCACGTCTCCATTGCGTTCGGTTCTCTGCTAGAGTCTTCACCTGGCTCCAAGTCTATCCACATCCTTTCATCTCCTCTTCACATGACCTCCTCCAAGTCACCTTTGCACTGACGACCAACTCGCCGCTTCCCTTTCGGGTTCCACTCGAGCAATGGCTTGTCTAGTGATGTCACTTGATGGTTTCCTCAGAGTATGGCCAGTCCATCTACATTTCTTCCTACCTATTTGTTTCACAATCGGTTCCTGGTTGGTTCGCTACCAAAGATCCCTGTTGCTGATCTTTTCTGGTCATCTGATCTTGAGTATTGAGCGAAGACAACTGTTAATGAAGGTCTGTAGTTTGTTTGAGATGCTCTTCATGACGCGCTGGCCAAGTCTCTGATCCATCCGTATAGTTGCACTGACTTCACATTGGATTTGAAAATCCGGATCTTATTTTTGATGCTGAGTGTTGTTGACCACCACACAGACTTGAGAGTAGTGAAAGATTGTCTTGCTTTTCCGATTCTTGCTTTGATATCCTCGTCAGTTCCATAGGCCTGTAGTTGAAAAGATGCTTCCCAGGTAGATATGTGAAGGAGGTTGTTTCTTTCAGGTTCCTTCCATTTATGCTGATCGCAATCTGTTGTTGTTGTTCTTGCCCAGGAATCTTCATCACCTCTGTTTTCTCTATATTCACCTGAAGGAAGTCGTATCCTTGATGCTTCTTCTGCCAACTTGTTGCTTTTCGCTTGCATATCTTCCAGTTTGTGGGAAATCAGACATATATCATCGGCGAAGTCCAGATCCTCCAAGTTTTTTGTGCGAGTCCATTTTATGCTTGTTTCCTCATTGCCCGCTGTTTGTTGCATTATCCAGTCTACTGCAATCAGGAAAATCATTGGCGATAGTAGGCAGCCTTATCTTACCTTACTCCCTTCTCTACTTCGAAGGATTCCGTAAGTTTCCGTTGTGGATTACTTGGCATGCAGCATTGTCGTATAGCTGTTGGATGAGATGTATAATTGTCGGTGGCACCCCGTAGTAGCGAAGTAGTTGCCAAATCACCTCTCGATCGACGCTGAGCTATCGAAGGCCTTTTCAAAGTCGATGAAGTTGAGATAGAGAGTTGACTGCCATTCCAAGCTTTGTTCAATGATGATCCGTAATGTGGCAATCTGATAAATGCATGACTTGTTTCTCCTGAATCCAGCCTGTTCCGGTCGAAGTTTTTCATCCAGGGCATGTTCGATTCTCTCCAGGATGATGCGACTTAGTATTGTGCTTGGGATAGACAGGATTCTCATTACCAATGAGGGGCAAATTCAGTGGAATCAAACTCACAAATCTTACAGTTCAAGGTGAAACTACACTACAATTTCCTCTGGAAACTGAAACGATTATTCGGATCACAATTTATGAACAGCTTGGTACCAAGAAACTAAGGATAAATGCATAACACTGTGTACTATTGATTGGTTGATTGATATCAGAGTAGTCAACAAGCAGATACACTTGTTAGCCAAGTCGAAGTGATGTGAACACCGGACAACCATTTCGAGGCGAACTCACTAGCCGTCTATCTGCTTCGAATAAGCTTAGATAGCTGAATTATTTCAAACCTAGATACTCTCTTTCGGCCGAATCTAATCCCGCCAAATGTAACATGATGTTACAGGATTGGACTACAACGACTCCTAGATTAGAAATAGGAAGTGAATTGGTAGAGCACGTTGACCGCTTCACTTACTTGGGAAGTACCACCAGCCCCAGCGGGTTGATCTCTGACGAAATCTCAGCACGAATACAGAGGGCTAGTGTCGCATATGCCAGTTTACACCGTCTCTGGCGTAGACGTGATATCCGACTATCGACCAAAGGGCGTGTGTACTGCTCAACAGTCCGCTCCGTCCTCCGTTATGGCTGTGAGACCTGTCCATTGAAAGTGGAAAATACTGGCTAGCTGTCTTTGATCATAGGTGTCTACGTTCTATCTCCCGTGTGAAGAGGTATAATAAGGTAAGCAATACTGAGGTTAGGCGTCGAGTGCTAGGTGAGGTGGGGAAATCAATCGACAAGGCTGTGAAATTATATTGACTGAGATGGTTAGGACATCTGTTACGTATACCTCCTAGTCATCACCTTCCTCGACGGGCAATGTTAGCTGATATAGGGTCAGGCTGGAAAAGAGCTAGCGGCGGTCAAACGAAAACATGGCACCAGTCAATGAAATCTACAACAGTTAATCAAAGCCACGTAGGAAGGTGAAGACTGACTTCCTGGTTGGGGTCCTCTGGACGGTAAAAACCAATGGCTGGAAACAATTGGTGGTATGGCTTAAAATCGTTCTCAATGGCAGGCGCAGATGCATCCACTCCTTGTGACTTATGATTCCCAATGAAACTATATCGTTCTTCATTATTACTATTCCTTTGTCTCACACCTCTGTTTACTGTCTGTAATATGCATTTCTTCTACTTTCTTCTCTTACTTTGTGTGCTAAAAGGAAGGAGTGTGGCGACTTGAACTGCAGCACAAATGTGCAAAGTTCTATGTCGAAAAGAGACAGACAGACAGAATCTAATCCAGATACGCCATTGATCTGCTTGGTTCCAAGAAGCACAAATCACTCGCTATCACGTGGAGAAATTTGAAAGAGGCCACTTCCTTCACTAATATCTACGCAGCATCATTTCAACTACAGGCGACAGAACGGATTAGGACTTCAGAACCAGAATCGGATATGCAAGGCACTTCACTTCATCACTCTGAAATTAGTTTGGAAAATCTTCTGCAATCAGCATAAAGATAGAAATACGGATTTTCAACACTAATTTTAAGTCGTTGAGTTCTTATATTTGGGTGAGAAACTTCACGCATCACAAAAAGCATTTCCACCAGAGTACTGCAGACTTTTATCAACAGCTGCCTCCTTTGCAGGCTCCGTACTCGATACACATGACGAAGAATATATAGATGGATGGGTCAGACTCTGAGGAGACTGTCGGGTGATATCGCACGCTGGGCTATCACTCAAGTGGGACCTAAGTGGAAAGCGACGAGTTGGATGTTTGTCCAAGGGTGGCATGGAGATTGTGTGAGGTGGGGGATAAGAGCAAATGGGCAATTGTGGCGCCAGATGAGGAGAACTGCATGGGACAGGACGAAATGGAGATGTTCTTCTGAAGACGTATGTAACACCCGGAATCCAAGGGAATAATAATAATAATAATATGAGGACTGATGGATGAAACTGTTAACCATTGTATCGTATCACAAACTGACAAAGCTGCAGTTCATTCACCAGTGCATTTCAAGCTTATAGTTGACTGATGGTGTAATCACTACAAGACCTGGAAGTTGTGATTCGAATCAAAATTACACAGTCATCGATATACATGGCTTAAAAGTTTTGAGAGAAGGAATAACAGTTCCTTTCATCCAACAGTCTCTTCAAGGTGATATCACTTTGCAGTGGGATCTATGGAATATATCCCAATTTAATCTAACAACATAATTTTCAAGAGTTAGTTTGTTCGGATTTCATTTGTTTGAAGTTCGACCACGGATTGATACAGCTGACCAGTACTCCTGTTGATTGTCAATGGTTCTCTAACTTATATCAATCTATGATCAAACTATGCGTACTATTTTGAACAGAAAACAACTAACTGCAACCTCTGACTGACTAACTAACTAACTAACTAACTAACTGGTTTCAACGTAGAAATTCGCACAGATGTGCACCAGTTCGAGTTTCCACTCTCCCTTCACGTAGCATACAAAGCACGAGAAGAGAGTAAAGACAGATTTAAAAGAGAGGGAGATAATAAACAGAAGTGCAAGGGAAGAAGACTACTAATATGGAAGAACAATAGAATTTCATTAAAAATGATAAATCACAAGGAGTGAATGAATCTGCGCCATCCATTGACGACGATTTTGAGCCATATCACCACCAATTGTCGCCAGCCTTCATTGGCTCTTACCATCCCGAGGACCCCAACCAGGAAGCCAGTCTACACCTCCCTATCTGGCTGTCTTAAACGAACTGTTGTGGGTTTCATTGACTGATGATGAAGGCATGTTTTGGTTTGAGCACCCCTAGCTCTTCTCCAACCTCACCAAGCCTATGTCAGCTAACATTCACCGTTGAGAAGGGTGATGGTTAGAGATGCATGCGTAACACATGTCCTAACCCTCTCAATTAATAATGCATCTTCAAAATCTCATCGACTGGTTTCCCCTCCTAACCTAGCACTCGACCTATGCCTAACCTCAATATTGCTCACCTTATTATTCCACTTAACATAATCGGGAGATAAAATGCAGATACCTATGATCAAAGACAGCTAAGTGGCCTTTTCATATCTTCCACTTTCAATGGCCATGTCTCTATCACAGTCATAAAGGAGGACAGAATGAACTGCTGAGCAGTACACACGCCTTTTGGATATCATGTCTACGCCAGAAATGGCGTATGCCAGGCAAGCCTATTGTCCAGTACTCTCCCTGTTGATTTTCAATAGGTTCTCTAACTCATGTCAATCCGTGATCAAATTAATGAGTACCATGTCTATCATGGACCACTTGACCTACTAAAATATGATTGGATATCAGTGTGTACATCTTAGTCTTATATAACTACGGCATAAGTTTCATTTATCTAATGGATTGACAACAAAAAATGTAGAAAATTACTATGTAATTTTACTATTTTTTTTATTTTTTTGATTATGTCTTGAAACCACACCGTATTTTTGGTACAAGTATGGAATTTTCAGCATACGATATCGGTAGCCCAAATTTTGCAGGCCGACCATTGATATCAGGTGTGTGTCGGTCGGGAGGGGATCAAACCCCGGACCATGTGCATGGTCGGCGAGAGTCCTAACCACTGTGCCACCACCGACGCACTACAAGCAAACAAATAAGCAAATAAATAAAAAGAATTAATGAAGGAAGGTTGAGATACCTTTTCAAATTCAAGTAGGATCGCCAATTCAGTGTAACAAATTGATGACAGAATGAAGTTTCACACTGTTGATAATGACCACCACCACCACCACACTGATGATGATGATGATAACTGACAACAACCAAGAATTTTTTGACTATTGACAAGTTTATTTTCAATACTGCTTTCTAGCGGACACGACTGATTCCTCATTAACTGAGATTCGGATATCTTTTTCGGCGGTGTATTTTTTTTTATTAGTATATCATTCATTTCATGTTCAACATTAATCATTGGACTGTGTTCATCATTGTCATCATCGGGAAGTGGAACAACAATAGTAGGAGTAGGAGCGGCAGTAGTAGGAGGAGGGGGAGGAGGAGGATTAACAGAACGACTTAATGCCCACAGTTCATCAAATCTTTTCATATCTCTATTCAATGATGATAAATAATTTCCAGGTTGTACAAAATCACAATCAGTACATCTACAATAGAAAAAAATATAACATAAGTTTTCAATGTTTACAATCTCATAAGGTAACAATTTTGAAACACACACACAAAAAAAACAAGTTACTAAGTATGCAGAGAAGAAAAACAGTAACGCCTGGAAAATATTATTTGATTTGATTAATTACAGGTCTGACCAGCTGTTGGAAAACCCAGGAGTACTGGGCAGCTGATTCGTCCCTGTTTGGGACTCCTCATCGGCACGCACCCACTGGGGTTAGAACCCAGGACCTTCCAGTGGCAAAGCAAGCTCGTAAACCAACACCAGAAAATAAATCTGATGCTCACTAGCACCACTTGAAATCACCTGGAGTTTTAGTGAGGTCCACCAAGTTGGGTGAGAGAACTGTTACTCGTCGATGGCATTAACAGGCGGTTGCGTAATACATACATCACGAATTGGTACAAGCTGGAATTCATGGGTAATGGTGATTTGCTTTGTAGCCAAAAGATCTTGGATGGGTGGCTGCTGTAGAAGAGACCCACATTAGGAGGAATCAGGTGTCCAGTACTCTTTGGCTTCCCAATGGTCCTCTAACTGATGTCAGCTCGTTACCAAACACCTGTAGACATCATTTCCCATATGCATTTTCTTCATTCCTCAGCGGTCAGAACGGAACAAAACACTACACGCTTGAGCTTTAAGTTTCAGTAGCAGTGTCTTTTTTTATCACTCGGTGGGGTTGTCAGCTTTTACGTCCAGCCCTACTCTTTACCGGACTTACTACTAGTAAACTGACTGATGATCAGGAGAGCTTCGTGTGCTTTCGGCAGTGTATGGGTGGGTGGTTGTTACTTTCCAGTGTTGCATGACCGCAGAGTCCAGGAGATAACTGTTTGAGGGTGGTTTGTATGAACTGGCTTTTCGGTTTGGTTCCGTATTAGTGACTTAGCGCCGGCTACGGATCACCGTAGGGTAAGTTGGGATGTACAATTTTCGAGGTCAACCTTTTCTAGCCCCTCCATTCTTTAGAGTGGAGAGACAGTATAGCTGGCGTGCTGGTCATCTCAGGGAAACACCTTATTGCTGTAACATCTGTATTCCCCAGCAGCAAGACTTCGCCCACAAACCCCGAGCATAGTGTAAAAAAATATCTTACACTATGCCTGTAACTGGTTTAAGTTTAATCGCTCTCCTAACAACCTTCCTGGCATGACAGGACCTGCAGGAAACAATAGTTTCAGCCAGTGTAGCTTGTTGGGTCATTGCGATATACAAGCCCGACCACCTCGTCAACTACTTGTCGGTACTACCAGCAGTAAAGCGAGGTTTAAGAGTGCTTCAGCTGATAGCTTATCTGAAGGAATTGAAACCCTATTTGACTAAGAAGTGAGGTATATTTAATAAATACACTTACAATAAATCTGTTCATTTGTTGTTAGGGTTTAGAATAGCGATGTAAGAACAAGTATTCGAGGACTGAGTACTGATTCACTGTGTACTGTGATAAAATCGACTGCATACGTTGACTGGATTCCAGGTACTACCAAACAGTTAAGTAAATAATGTTCAGGCAATTCACTATGCCAATAACCACATTATACAACTCAAATATTCAGTTGAAGCATAACAGATTTCGTCTCCATGAGTAAAAAACATCTACAGAGTGTGTTGAACAGAATTACTTTAGCAGTTATTATTTGTTCATAAATCAATTTTGATTTTCCGCTTGATTGATTGGACCGAAATGTTTGGCCTTTGTTAAAATGTCGGCTCCTACTGGCACAGAAACTTCGATGATGTATGAGGATTAAGTTGAATTATTTTGGCAGATGGTGGCTAGCGATGGAATCCAGGATGCGCATTTCGTCGTTTTAGGCACTCGTCCGCCAGTGGGGTGTACCTGCATTCCTAAGTGACTGAGTGATGGTGTTTCCAGTGAGACTCCAACCCAGTCCCCATAATTTCAAGCACCAAAGCATTATCCACTGGACCACCTCTTGTGCAATGGACACCAGTTATTTGTTTTTAAGTCTAGTGAATAACGCTTTGGTGCTTGAAACGATAGGTACAGGGTTCGAGTCCCAGTGGGAACACCATCACCCTCTGTAAATGCAGGCACATTCAGTGACGAGTCCCAAACGGGACGAAATCCGCATGCTGGATTCCACTGCAATTCACCACCCACTAAAATGAATAGTGTTCAATGTTCTGGTAGATAATTTTTGCAAAAAGGCTTTTCCCAAAAGGCTTCAATATTACCAAATATATTGTGGGAGCATATTCCTAAATGGCTCCAGAAACAAACGTAATTTTCAGAACCTATTAATGGTGAGAACAGGAGACCTAGCTCTTCTATTGCGAAACATATTATAGAGACAGGACATAAAATGGACGTTAATATATCTTTTAAACCTATCTATAAAACGTGTTTGGGGCGTATCCTAAAGTTTCTGGAAGCCCTAGCTAGCGATTAGGAAGTTTAAACCATCTTTATGTGTTCAAAAACAATTCGTCGTCACACCAAACCTACCTTCCTAGGTAAAGTTTGTTTTGATATCAACCAGGATAGAGGTACTATTCCCTCTGTTATTTGGTTAAGTGATGTGCATTGTTATTTTGACCTTCAATATGTCCTTTTTTCTCACCTCTTAACTCTTTATTAATTTCATATATATTCCTATGATAAGTCCGTGTGTGATCAGATTGTTCGAAATGTGTTGCGCTAATACGTCACACGAATCAGACAAATTACGTCTTCTTATTGCTTTATCTATTTAGTGGGATGTTTAGTAGCCACATTCATTAAAAATAATATGCCTGGTGTTCTGAAGACTGTAGAGGAAAGGTAATCAGAAAAGCAGCCTGATTCAATCTAGGCCTCCGAGCAGTATCCCAACATTCCCACGAACAATGGGATTTTCTATGGTGCATTTTCAACTCAAAAAATTGTCAAGCAATTCAAAGAACATGATTTTATGCATCTAATATCACACAAAAAAAGAATGAGAAAAAACAGCTTACTGTTCCTTCTTTTTCCTAAATTTCGTTGCTTTTTTATGATAATTATATCCCGTGGTTGATGGATTACTTGAACCTGGTCTATAAATTCTATCCACTTTAGATTTCTTCGACTGATTTTGTGTGTTTTCATTAAAATTTACACAACATTCTGCTAAAAATGCTTTACACCTATATATAGATGGAGAATTAAGTGAAACAGAATATTAAAAAAAAACCAATTAGTGTATCATGAGGGAATATTTAACTTATTCTCACTCAGTGACTCACTCACATATGCCAACTTACGCCATCTCTGGCTTAGTAGACTTGATATCCCGCTATCGACCAAAAGGCGTGTGTACTGCTCAGTAGTTTGCTCTGTTCTCCTATATAATTGTGAGATATGGCCATTGAAAGTGGAAGACATGAAAAGGCCGGTTATCTATCTTTGATCATATGTGTCTGAGTTCTATCTCCCGTGATAGATGGTACTACCATAGGGTGAGTATTATTGCGGTTGGGTGTCAAGTGCTTGGTAAGCAGGGGAAATCAATCGATGAGGCTGTGAAGTTACACCGACTGAGATGGTTAGAAAATGTATTGCGCATGCCTAGGCGTCGCCTTCCTCGACCGACTGGCAATGTTAGCTGACATACGACTGATCAGGTTGGAAAAGAGTTAGTGGTGGTCAAATGAAAACATGGCATTAGTCAATGAAATCCATAACAGTTTGTTTAAGCTGGTCTCGTCGGGAGATGTTGACTGGCTTCCTGGTTGGGTTCCTCGGGATTGTAGGAACCAATAAAGACTGGAGACAATTGGTGACATATCCAATAAAATTCTATTGTTCTTCCATATTTCTTTATTATCTCTCTTTTGAATCTCTCCTTACTCTCTTCTCTTGCTCTGTGTGTGCTACATGGAAGGAGAGTGGCAACTCAAACTGTTGCATATCTGTGCAAAGTTCTACGTTGAAACCAGTCAGTTAGTCAGTCAGTCACTGGTACTCAGATGAATCAGCGATTCCATAAGCTTATTGCTATAGATCAAATTTATCAACTAATAAAGTTATAAATCACACAACAAAAGAGTTCAAATTCCAAGTCAATAAAAACGATCAATTTTGATGCAAATTAACAACGAATCACGACAAAAGGTTGTCAGCAGCTACAATTATTTCATTCATGAAAAATTTAAATAAGTTGGCTTCATATTAAAGATTGCGCTGAAGATATTGTGTTTAGTAAGACAACAAAAGCTTGGCAATTAAATCGACCAACTCACAACCAACACGTATGCAGGGGTGTAGGCTTCCTGGTTGGGATTCTCAAGGATTCTAAGAAATAATGATTGGAGACCAGTAGAGATACGGGAGGGATTTGAAAGAGGTTACTTCATTCACTTATCTAGGGAGCATTGTCTCAACTACAGGAGGAACGGACGACGAGGATGTCAAATCGAGAATCGAGAAGGCGAGAAACACATTCATCAACCTGAAACCAATCTGGAAATCTTCGTCACTCAGCATCAACAACAAAATTCGGATTTTCAATACAAACGTCAAGTCAGTCAGTTCTTCTATATGGATCAGAAACTTGGCGGGTCACAACTGTCTTCGTTCTATACTGAAGATCAGATGGCCGGAAAGAATCACAAACAAGAAGCTATGGGAACAAACAAAACAAGAACCAATTGCTCAACAAATATGCAGGAGGAAGTGGAGATGGATTGGACACTCGCTGAGGAGGAGGCCGTTGGGTGACATCGCGCGTCAGGCCATAGCTCGAGTGGAACCGGAAAGGGAAGCGGCGAGTGGGACGTCCAAGGGTGACATGGAGGAGATCGTGTGAACAGGAACTGAAACAGTATGGACTAACATGGATGGAGGTGAAAAATACAGCAGAAGACAGAAGCAAGTGGAGGCGTGTAGTTGAAGCCCTATGTTCCACTAGGAACCCAAGGGAACAATAATAAATAATAAGAGATACGACTAAAAATCGTTTACAGTGGTAATCACTAATACCTAATAAACCCTAATGTTTTTTTCCCTCATATTACTAACCTTTCTCCTACAAATATTTTCTGCTTATTATAGTCTGCTTGGAGTCCCTTTCTCTCTATCTTTTCTCTACCTTTGTGTGGTATGTGGAATGTAGCAACTTGAACTGTTGCAGCTGAATGCAAAGTGTTACGTTGAAATCCAATAACGCAGTTAATAAGGCAAAGTTCAACAATAGCGTCCCAAGGGATGAGAACGCACGAGTGACCTTCAGCCGACCAATCATAATAATAAGTGACTTTTGCATAAAAAATGACGTATATTTACAAGAAATTGCATGAAAACACACTGAACGGGTTATCTTTCTCCGACATGACTTAAAAACACGTCTCAGTTATAATGAGGAGTATCAGTTGCTAAGTTAGACTAGTTTCTACATCTCTCTTATCCTCATGTGCAGTTTTCCCCAAAAGCTCTCAGTTGAATTACTATCGTTTCCAGTAAGAGGATCGACGACTGCTTACCAGGAAAGTGTGGATAAGAAAACAAATTTTAAAAAATAAATGACAGGTGCCGTCAGCCAACGTCTAGCATGCGTTCAAGGTCATTGGAGCGTTCGTGCTCCTGGGACGCTATTGCTGAACTTCGCCAATAATGGTAATAATAACATCTTTATTCTGAGCATTATCTATAAAATGTACTGAATTTTCACAGGAGCTTATCGGATGATATTTTCCTTTCGTACAATCAATATCTTCAAGTAAAATATTAATTGACATTCCACGATATCTAGTTAAAAGCCAATTGTAAGATGTTCAGAACACGTACATTTTGAGACTCAACGACATAACTGAAGAACAATTATCTCACGTAGCGGAACACGCTGACACCCACAATCAGGCCTCTTTCCTCAAGTTTAGTAGGAACTTACGAATCAGGAGGATGTGAACATTTTAAATACCTACAAGAGTAGATAAAACCATTAGAGGTCATATCTTAATCGACTGAAACAAGCCGAAGGAGAGAAAATATATGCAACAGAGAAAGAGTAAAAGAGATGTAAGTTTTTGGTAGCAGGCCGCCAAAGACGGTCAAAAATACAATCAGACAGATAGAACTGTGAGTGAATCGTCGTAGACTGGTGGTAGCACAGATAGGATAAGTCACAGACAGATATTATCACCACGCACGATAACAAATTATACAAAAGATGAAATCAACTCAAAAATCACAAATATTTTGTGTTGTGTATTTGTTCTTTTAAATGATTACCATTGATGAATGAATGGAGCGCGCTACACGTGACATTTTTGTGTTTTATTGAGCATATATACAGCATATATATATATATATATATAGAGAGAGAGAGAGAGAGTTAGCGATCAATAATGGTTAAAAGCGCATAACTGTAGAGAAATAGAGAAGTCATATGTATATATATTCACATTATAAAATCATTTTACTTATCTTATAATGAAGTGAAGTGGAGCTAACACGTGATTTATAAATCCAGCTTGATACTTCTCACTCTCTCTATCTCAGAGTTCTAATTGATCATAACTAACTGACTAACTAAATATACACACTAATTATTATTATTTTTGAAAAAAATTATTATTATTATCAAGAATAATGATGAGAGAAAAGGGCAGAGATTGTGGTATTGATATTGTGTACGTTATTATTATTATTACACAGGACGGTAAAGTAAAATGACGCGCATACCTCACACCACTTTAGCTGAATTTACTTAGTCAGATTTTTACCATAGTATTTATAAAAAAACAGTTGAACTTATTCTGAGTTAAGATCTTTGGTAGTTACAAATATAAGAGATTGAAGATGTCAATGCAAGTCAGTCAGCCAGCCAGCCAGAATCGGAAAGGCAAGATAGGCGCCTCCATCAACTTGAAACTGGTTTGGAAATCTTCTGAACTCCGCCTCAGCATAAAGAATAAGATTCGGATTTTCAATACAAATGTGAAATCAGTCAGTTAGTGCTTCTGTATGCGTCAGTCACGAAAAATAATAATAATTTGCTTTATTCCAGAAACAGTACTAGTGGTACAGGGTGGAATTTCCAGCACATATCTACAATATTTGCATCTAATCTTATCAAACATTTAAAAGGAGTATTTCAAAACAATAAATATTAAGACAACAACAGCAAACAAACAGGAAAAACACAAAAGAAAATTTTAAAAATGCAAAAAAATACCAAGAAGTAGAAAGGAAAATAAACAGCATATAATAATATCTCAGTATTGGGTAGTGGAAGCTTTGATGTGATTATGCATGGTGACAGTAAAGCTATAGTCATACAAGAAGTTATGAAATGATATTTAAGAATGTTTATTACCAAGAAGATCAGTTAATTTGGTTGAAACAGCTCTAAACAATCATAAAATAACATTTCAGGGTTGTTGTTTTGTTTTAATTGTCAGGTCTAATGCAGTGTTTGTAGTGGTAGTGTGAGTGATCCTGCATAATACAAAATTTAAAGATGGTGATAATGGCGTTCACAACCAAGATTGTCAGTTAATATTGCCGAGAAAAAAATAAAATAAGAAAAAAAAACAACCATAAAACTAATAATTACATGATTTTTAATGACAGGACAATTTTGTAATACTTATACTGCTAATATAGTCGGAACCAGTAGATACACAAAAGAAGGAATACAGTAAAGTAGAAAAAAGTAAGCCAATGTTAATAATTTAGGTAGCTAAGTATGTTTAAGAAGGAGTTCACTATAGAATACAAAATAAGAGAGAAATAAAAGAGCCTAAAATTATGTTACTAACAACAAAGCAAGTCATAGGTTTCGCGCTTAACATTGTCTCTGTCGCTTAGAACACGGGCCAAGTATGGTATCGTTGAGTTCCTGTACTTGGTTGTACGAGTATAGATTATTTTATACTGATTTCTGATTCTACCTGATGCGATACAAGGCGAGAGTTGGGAATAGAGGGGGTGTTGGGGGTCGGAGAGTATGGTTTTAGACCATTTTTCACATGTATTCAGCTGCCTATCAACTAATGTAGTGACGAGCTGACTGAGTTTTACACCACTAGTCCTACTAACTACCTTCAACATCCTTCTCAGGATGGTATAGTCCTTTTTTAGTAGACCAGGAAAGACTAACGGGGAACAGTAAAGTAGAATTGGTAAGATACAAAAGTTGACAAATTGTGAAAGTAAGATTTCCAACAAGGTAGGGACTTTTATCAACAGCTGCCCACTTTGCTGACTGGCTCCATACTGAAGATCAAATGGCCGGGTAGTCGGCTGGCTGGCTAGAAAAAAAGAATTAGCAACAAGAAACTCTGGATTGGAACAAACTAACAAGCAAGAGCCGATTGCTCAACAAATATGCAGAAGAAAATGGAGATGGATCAGGGATACGTTGAGGATGTCGTCGAATGGCATAGTGCTCAATGAAGGCCATCGCTCGAGTGGAATGCTGGTGGGAAACGACGATCGGGTCGACAGTGCGAGGGTGACATGGAGAAGATCGTGTGGCGAGGAGTAGGAGGAGATGAGAGATTATGGGAAATTGTGGACCTAGCTGTGAAGAGGAGAGCAGAAAATAGAAGACATTGGAGATGTGTTGTTGAAGACCTATGTTCCGCTCAGAACCCAAGGGAATAGTAGTAATAATAATACGTATATATATAACATATATACTTTACTTACTGTTGCCATAATGTAGATTCTAACCATAATGAAATAAGTCGACACCGGACTGTTTCCCGTAGAGTTTTACAATTAGTACCACTTTGGCTGGTATCTAAAACAATTATAAATAAATAATATTGATATTAGGGAAAAATGAATGTGAAGTAATGCATACGTGGCATGAATTGAAATCGATTTTTCAGCTTTGATCTTTGAAAAAAAACTCAGCATTTAAAAGCCGCCATGCTTTCTAGAATGGTAATCGAATTTCTACTTCAAATTCATCGACCTCGAAAAAGCCTTCAACAATATTGATTGTGAAGTAATTTGGAAACTATTTCAACACTATGGAGTGCGTCAAATCTGAAACAACCTCACTACTCAGTAGCTACATGATAATGCCATATATGAACTGATCCACAGTGGGCAAACTCAGCGAAACTCCTTACGATCACCGATGACATTCCTAGTTGTGGTGGACCAGATTATGCGACAGACTATGTGTAGGGCGAGAGAAGACAGGAATACGTTGAACCAATAAGAAGACTCTATAAGATCTTAATTTCGTGGACGATTTATGTCTAATGTCACATGAATTCGAAGACTTAAGGGGCGATGACCAACAAGTTGGATGCAGAGAAAGACGACGAAGACAGGACTTCAAGTGAACATAAGAGAAGGCACAAGTGATAAAGATAACCAACCAGCCAATTAACCAACAACAAGCATGAACCACTATCAAAGTAAGAAATTTCAAGGAGTGGCAACTTCCTCCGCTTATCTAGACACTACCGCTTCAACTGCAGGCACTCGGGGCACGGATTAGGATGTCAAAACCAGAATCAGATAGGCAAGACATGACTTCACTACTGTGAAATCAGTTTGGAGATTTTCCTCACTCAGCGTAAACAACAAAATTCGGATTCTCTTCAACACCAATGTTAAGTCAGTCAGTTCTTCTATATGAGTTAGAAACTTGACCTAAGCGTCACAAAAGCATTTCCAACAGACAATCTGCACACTTTCATCAACAGCTGGCGATAAATAACTACCCACAAGAAACTCTGAGAACGAACCAATCAAGAACTTATTCTTCAACAAATATGACGAAGAAACCGGAGATTAGTTGGACACACACACTGAAGACACCATCGGATGACAACGCATGCAATGCAGGCTATCGTTCGAGTGGAAGGCGGATGAGAAACGAAGAGTTAGGCATGTGTCCGAAGGTGTCATGGAGGAGATTGTGTGAGGAGGAGGAGCTGACAGTTGATTGGTAATCTTAGAGCCAACTGAAAAGGATTTTAGAGAGAACAGGATAAAGTGGAGATGTTCTGTTGAAGCCCAATGTACCACTTGGAACCCAAGGGAATAATAGTAATTATAATAGTATCTTCAATAGTTAATATATAAGGATTAGATTTGTTTTTAAGAGTTTGACCACGGATTGACATCAGTTAGAGAACTATTGAAAATCAGTATTGGATTACTTGACAGTTGTTTTATCCTAATATGAGAATCATCGGCAGTACGCACCCACCACCATGGTTCAAACACAGGACCTTCAGGTGACAAACTAATCTGATGCTCGCTAGTAACTGGCTACACGACGGAGTTTCCTGAAGTTCTAGTGAGAATTCTTGACCAGTGAGGTTCATTCAGTTGGGAGTGAGGATGGATTTCCCGCCGACGACACTGGTTGTTAGTTGCGCAAAAATCCCGAAGTGGTAGAAGTTAGAATTCATGGGTTGGCCATTGAATCGGGTCCCAGTAGCTGAATGGTATACGAACTTGCCTCGGGTGCGTACTGCAGATGATTCTCAAACTAGGACGAAACAGTCGTCCAGTACTCCTAGCTGGTTTTCAACAGTTCTCTAACTGATATGAATCCGCCGTCACACTCGCATAATAATATCATAAATTTATATCAGAATTGTTAAACTATAAGTGTTATAATATTGATATAAAAATACTCGCACTATAATAACAACGTACAAATTAAACATATGCACAAATCAGTGCATTACGAGGCACATATATGAAATAACACTGTTTAAACAGCAGTAATAAGTGAGTTTCGAACCTGTGAGATGCCTACTTAAAAACAACTGGAAAAACACTAGTGGGAGGCAATTCCATTTTTTTTAAATAATAAATTAAACATATTACAAACCAACACTTGAATATCAATGAGATGCTCACTAGTGACTTGCCTCATTCAGGTAGGTAGTTACCTGGGGTTCCAGTGAGAAGTCGTGACCAGTAGGGTGCAGCAGGTCGGGCGTGAGGACAAATACTCGCCGAAGACATTGGCTAGCGGTCACGCTATGTCGTGAATTGGCAGAAGTTGGAATTCATGGGCCACTGGATCGGGTCCCAGTGGCTTAATGGTCTACGAGCTCGCCTTGTAACCAGAAGGTCCTGGGTTCGAATCCCGGTGGGTGCGTACTGCTAAAGAGTCCCAAACTAGGACGAAACAGCTGTCCAGTACTCCCTGCAGGTTTTCCAATGGTTCTCTAACTAATGTCAGCTCATGATGAAATCCTGTAACCAATCAACCAAATCCCTACAAACCAACACTTGAATAAATTAAACAGTGTACAGTTTCATAACAGAATAGAATTTTACCTGAGGTAGTTGCTTGTTGCATAACTGTGTTTGTAGTCTCCACCTCACCATGTAAAATATCCATGAAGAAATCAGCTGGATTATTATGACCTTCGATTAAATAACCTAAATAACAGAAATACATAAAAATAAACAAACTGATAGAAGAGGCAGGAAAAGAATAACTTCACGTGAACTATAGAGAAGATATATATGAGGAAAATAACCAACCACCACCAACAATAACAGCAACAAACACCAAGCAGAGGAAGTCATCCCTTTCCCAAACTTATCAACCAGGGCAGCAGCATCGTTTCAACTATAGACGGGATGACACCCAATGAGGATGGTAAAGCCAGTCGGAATCGAGAAAGCAAGGCAAACGTTCATTACTTAAAAGGAAATACAGATGGATTGGATATATATTTTAGGAGGATATCCAAATGAAAGGCCCTTAAATGGGAAGTGGAAGTTCGGGCGTCCAGAAGGTGAGATGGAGAGGATCACATGAAGAGGAAATGAACACTTCCAGTGCGCAAGGGACGAATAATAGTATAATCATCATCATCATCATCATCACCATCCCTTGGCGAATACAACGTGTCAGGGGTTGATTTGTTACCAAGGGACGGTATCATTGAGCTAGAATATGAAGATGATATAATCCACCTAGATGAAGATGCTGAAGAAAGACAGTGTTTTGAACACAGGAAATGAAATGGTTGACTATTTGGCGTATTCGGCAAGTTGAATTAAATACACGGACTGATTTCTGACACAATTACAGCACGGGCATAATAAAAGGCTCGTTTGGTATTTGACAACTTGATTCACCTACTTATTTGTCAGATGACGACGTCTGTACTATTGTGCAACGATTAACCGCATTCTTCTTTACTTCTATGAGTCATGGCCGTGGAAGATGTGAGAAGATAGGTCAATTTACACTATAGGTATCCACATTCAGGTATAATATGGTCAATAATGATGTGATTAGGTATGAAGTATTGAACGTGAAGGGAAAGTCAGTCGCAGAGATTATTATTGTTATCATTATTATTATTATTGTTTCCTTTAGTTCCTAGAGGAACATAGGGCTTCAGCCGCACATCTCCATTGCGTTCGGTTCACCTGGCTCCACGTCTGCCCACACGTTTTCATCTCCTCTTCACATGATCTCCTCCATGTCACTCTTGCACTGACGACCAACTCACCGCTTCCCTTTCGGGTTCCACTCGAGCGATGGCCTGTCATGTGATGTCACTTGATGGTTTCCTCAGAGTATGGGAGAGATTACTGAGCAGTATTAATTGTGAGATGGTTAGGACATGGGTTATTCCTCGATAAGGATCAGCAGTGGTCAAATCAAAGCATAACATCAATCCGTCATGTATTTGACAGTTGGTATGAGCCGCGGTAGGGTTGTGTAGACAGCCTCTGGTAGAGGTCTTCGAGACACTCTAACAACTAATGCCTTCAAACTTTTGAAGAAATGGCTCAAAATGTTTCTCAAAGGAGCGCATGAATTTACATATTGACCGATTAAAAATGCCTACTAAATATTTCAAAAGAATGGTTACAGAACAAAGGATATTCTTTTCGATAACTTCGTCATCAGGTTCCACAGTTATATATACATAATGATGAATGAATTAGTGTTATGAACAACATTAATGTTGTTTAAATAACATCGAATCAATAATAATATCAGTGGATTACAGCTCAATAGCATCAACATAACAATACACACTGAATATCAGATAGGTCAATTAGGGAATTTCTAGTCTCTACAGTACAAAAGAAATTTAGTAAAGACCCTCACCCATAGGGTCAGAGATATATGCTCAAAAGAAGTACTTGAAGATGAACTACGGATTGTACATGATACACTGATTGAAAATAGCTATCCCAACAAATTTATCAAGATACGTATGACAAAGAAAGCGGAAAAGGACTTCTCACTATCCGTAAACAAGAAACCTGTATACATACGACTGCAATTCAAGGGTGATATACCTAGCGAAATAATTACGAAGAAGTTGAGGAAATCAGTTCAAAAGACTTTTAATGCTGGCAAACTACAAGTCTTGTTTTCTACACGACCGATGGTGATTCCTCGATTGAAAGATGAAGTACCTAGACTAGCCACTTCCAACTGTATCTACCAATTCAACTGCGCAGATGGTGGAGCGAGTTATATTGGCCATCGCTCTAGGAACTTGATTTTTCGTGCTCGAGAACATCTCCCAGTATGGCTAAGTAAAGGTGTAGTAAAAACCATTAACGGTTCGATATTGGACCACCTGGCCCAAACGGGCCACAAAGCCAGAGTTGAAGAAACCTTTTCTATCATCTACCGGGTACCAAATAAATTGCCAAAAACATGCGGGTGTCACATACACTAAACAGTAGAGGCTATCGGGATTCCCCTTAAACAACCAGTGCTTTGTGTGCAAAAGAAGTAAGTCCAGCCACTAGCAATACCCTGGCTGGCGTTCAGTG